TCAGCAATTTAAAATTGGACTAATTGCTCACAGATATAAAAAATTATGTGTAGTGGTTTTTCTAAATACATAAAACTATCGTTTTATATTTCTCCCTTATCAACACATTTAAGAATTTCTGAGAAAATTATGAAAATTCCCGTATAATGGATTCTAACTCATTTTAAAATAGCTGCAAGCAAATGGGCTGATAAACTAGCTAAAAAGAGAACAGAAACTTTGTTGTACAATATTTTTTTTTTTTTTTTGTCTTTATGATGGTTATCTTTTAAACTATAATTTTGTGCTTGTGAGCTTTATTATTTTTTTTAGCATAAGTAGCTAACATTCGAGGAGGTTGAGGCATTTTTTTAAAATTTTATATCCAGCGTTGAATTGCCAACTTAATTCTGAGTTTACGACGACCAATGTTCAACTCAGTAGCCTTCAGACAGTGTTCAACCAGAACCCAATTCAGAAAACGGTGGAAGCCAGATCGAGCATTGGAACAAACTAGTTTTCGTGAAGGACTTTTGATGTAACTAGCATTTGCGTTACACGGTGAGGAGAACCACGAAATCCTCAAACGCTTCGCCTAATGGATAGGGGATCTTAACCCATGATCTGCCCATCACCGAGGATATTTTATGTCATCTTGCGATTGGTACGAGCAGGAAGTAGAATTCAAATCGAGCAGCCAACGCTGGGAACAAACTTGGATCACCTCATTGGGAGGCGAATGCTCTATATCAGGGGTTTCCAACTTGCATGAGGCCGGGGGCTACAATTAAAAACACAAATCAAATGGGGGGCAGCAACTTTATCAAAATTTTATGTAGGACTCTTTTATGTTTGAAGGAACATTAAATATTACTGTCAGATTTGTACCAAGTTGTACAAAACAAAAGCATTGAATTACAAATTAAAATAAGAAGTAGATTTTTAAAAATATTTAATTGCATATTAAAAAATTCGGGCTACAATAACTTTAATGTGCACCCATGTATTAAACAATTAATGTGCAACAGATATCTAATTGTTAAGATATAAAACTTTAAAAAGGTTGGTATTAAAACTTACATAGTAGCACACAAAATGTTCAATGACAAAATTGAGGTTTGTCTGCTGCAACCACCAGAGAATAGATATTTACATTTTAAATTTACAAATGTGTGTGTAAATATTTTCGTCCAAAATGAGTGGTTTCAAAAAGTTAAATCGGAGAATTTCTTCGAGAAAATTTCTGATGCACACATGCTAAATTATATTCACAAAATGCAAAAATACAATAAAATACAAAAATACAAAATACAATGAAATAAAAAAGAGCAATGTGAAAGATTATTTTTGTATTTGAATAAATATTTTCTTGGATGCAAAACCTTTTTGCACCGTTGGTGTGATAAATTTCACAGAAACGAAGAAATTAGGTTTTTATTAACGAGAAAAGTATTTTAAACCCATATAGATTTTTTACGAAAATTGTCCGCAAAAAAATGACAACTAATATATTTTAGTTCGCGGGCCACAAAAAAGGGCTTCGCGGGCCGGATGCGGCCCCCGGGCAGCCAGTTGGAAACCACTGCTCTATAATATGAGCAACCGCTGCTCTTGCATTCTAGTTTTTTTTTTATAATTTTATATTTTATAACCGTCATTGAACAGTCGACCCAAATTTTAGCTTACGACTGAAAATGTTCAGCTCTGTAGCCTTGTAATTTTGAACCCATTCCAGAAGACAAAGGAACTCCAGGATCAGTACCCCCTGAGGTATTGATTTGTTATTGGAACTTGAAGAACTTTGTGACCCCAAAAGATTCAACGTACGCCAGTCACCATTTAAAACACGGGGATTTTTTCGCACTGCTGGATTCGAAATCTCGTTCTAACGAACAGAAGTCTAACTCCCTATCAACCCGTTTATCTTTGCCCGGATCAAGCATTGAGAAAAATTTGCTTTTATGGAGGACTTTTTGATTGAACTAACCCTCATTTCCGTTACTTAGAGAGGTAAACCTTCCACGGTTAGTCTGAACGCAAGGGAACTCTAGAGTATTTTCCTTCAGTACTGTGGTCGGGGCCAGCCGGGTGTGGAATTCGCATCTACCAGCCATTGCTGGGATTTAAACCCGGATCACCTCATTGGGATGCTTAATTTTAAAAAAGCAATTTGCTTCGCAATTCTTAAATTACTTTTAACATACTACGAGCTCCTTCCCATGCTCATACCGCTCAACAAGTCAAGTAATTGCTTCTCATTCATTATTGTTTCTTTTTTTTTAAACGTCCCCTCAAACACAGGATGTTTTGTTTTCAAAGCATACACTTATTGTTGCTTCATGTAAGAGCATTTAGTTAATATGTTTATCGCAACGAAATAGATATTTTCCTATATTTGAAAAACAATTATCTGTACTTGAAAAAAAAATTTAACCTAAAGATTACAAAATGTTTGACCCAATTAGAAGAAGTAAATGGAAAGTAATTTTACAGGTTGACGAAACTTATATAACAATTCAAATAGGGAGCGGTTTTCACCGCTGTTTAGGAAGTTTTTCTGTATTAAAATATTTTAATGCAATGCTAACATTTATAACTGCCAACATGTAATTAATCTCTTATTAACTTTTTCATACTACTTTTGATTATCATATATTCGACATCGAGCTTATAAAATAAAGAAATGGAGATAATATTTTCTACAGCAATGGGCGTACAACATTAACTTCCTACAACTCGTTCAAAGAGAACCGTGATGGCTCAGAGGATAGAGCGTTCGCAATTCATTGAGGTGAATCCCAGCAATGGCTAGTTTATACGAATCTTGTCGTCAGGCTAACCATGTGACGTTTTCGTGGTTTTCCCCTCCATGTAAGGCAAATGCTGGTTTGTTCCATAAAAAAGTCCTCCACGAAGACAAATTTCTCTCAATACTTGATCCAGTAGTTCCCTTGTCTTCTGGATTAGGTTCAAAATTACAATACAAGATTCAAAATTACAAAATACAGCCATCACGGAAGTGAACATTAGTAGTAAACCCAAAATTGGTTCGGCTGTTCAACGGCGATTATTAAAACTTTTTAAAACAGAGCCGTGATTGCTCATGAGATAGAGCTCTCGCATCGAAATGAGGTGATCCAAGTTCGATACCAGCTTTGGTTGGTAGATTCAGATTCTGCTCCCGACTCGCACCTACCACAATGCTGACAAAATATCCTCAGTGGTAGGCGGATCATGAGTTAGAATATCCTTACAGTCGGGCTAACAGTGGGTGGTTTTCCTCTCCATGTAGCACAAATGCGGATTAGTTCCATTAAAATCTCCTCTACGAAAACTAGTTTGTCCCAATACTTGACCCAAGAGTTAACTTGTCTTCTGGATTGTGTTCAAAGTTACAAGACTACGGAATTGAACATTGATAGTCATTAACTCAGAATTGGATCCAGCAGCCATAATGTGACCTTCTGGTGTGAGAAAACATATGCTCATGGGGAATAACATTTGCTGTTGTGCAGTGTACACCACAGGGAACAGATAGAATGAAGAGCCATTGACTATTATTTTCCTCGCCCTGTTCTTATAGTATGAGATCTTAGGGCCAATTGGATTTTTTTCCCATGTTATTCCATCATAGCATTCTTCTTGTCTGGTACCAGCTGGGGTTTAAGGAGTAGTGCGGCTTGTGACAATTCTATGAGATGCAAGAAATAATTTCAGTTCACGAGACATGAAAGAAGAACTTAGATCAGAATAAATAAATGAAGACATTCCAAAAATTTAAAAAAAAAAATTCAAATATAAAATCGCTGCAGAAATGTCTCGTCTCAACAAGGAATGGTTAATAGAAATCTGGAATATTTATCAACAACTAAGATCTAACGATTCTCGAAGAACTGGGGAGAGTCGCTTTAAAATTCACGTTTAACCTCTGAAATAGAGTTGTAGTTGTTTATTTGCTTCGCACTAGAGCTGCTCAATGGGCCCGTGATGACTGTCTGGGAGACATCCCTGAGGATAATCCGAAGACATGACATCACAATTTTGATCCTCTTTGGAGGGGATGCCACCAAACTTTGATAGCCCAACAACATGCTTGCGAATTTGAGCACTTACGGTTAAGCAGTTTTACAAGGACCGATACCGCATTTCTTCGGTTTCTTCGCAGCCTGATTAAAGTGGTCACCCACTCACACACTGACCGCAGCCAGTGATGCTTGACTTCGGTGTTCTACTGAGAACTGTGTTTTATGATCAGTCCACTGTGGGACCCTCTCAAATGGAAAAATAGCTTTTAAGAGTTTTCCAGAATTTCTTAAAAGTCTATGTTTGGTGATCGAAATGGGCTACAGGTGGCACAGAGCAGAATTCTCTACCTAATGGCTACACTTCGCATGCTCTCTCCTCTAGCATGCTAGTCATTAAAGAAGGAAGTACGTTAGCTTCTGTCTTGATTCGGTAGGTAGATATTTTATTTACGTCGCTCTAGAGCTGCACTATGGGCTATAGGCAACTGTCTAGGAAGTATCTCCGAGGAGGATCCAAAGACATGCTTTTGATCCTCGACAGAAGGGATGCCCTGTCTTGATTTCAAACAGATTAAAATTTTTTTAAGTAGGGAAATTATATGGAACTGAAAACTGTGTTAAACATAGTTTTTAAAGAAAGCGTCGTGGAAACTTTAAAAAATATTTCTGAAAGTTAAATGCAAAAAATATTATGGAGGGGAAAAACAGAACTTTTGACTGTTGAAAATATTTTCCATTAATCAGGGCCTCCCTCCTCCTCGACGGCGACATGTATTACGAGACGTCGACGATATGCAAAGTTACTTAAAATTAGTTCGTGGAAGTGATTTTTTTTTGTGTGAATGCGATTGAGAATGTGATTAACGAGTTCTTTCATTTGCATGAGACAAATATTACATTCAGTGAGAATGGTCTTTTATTGTGCTACATGCCTAGCTTTAAAAAACAGGATATCATTTGATTGTATCGATTGATTGCTCCTTCCCTTGCTTCAGGAGGCGTTTAAAATATCGTTATCGTATCGTATTAGTCATCTAAACCGAAACAGAACTACATACGATGTAAATAAACAAATGCAATATTAGTTTTGTAAAGTAAATTAGTTTTAATAATGGATACGCCTAATCCAAGATACTTAGAGGAAAGAAGTCGAGTAAATTTATTTTTTATATTCTTTTCGTTCAAAATAGCTGACTCAAAATAAATGCTAAATTTTGACTTTCTTTATAAACTCTTGGCATAGCGTTTTAACAATTTAATGGTATCTAAATTATCTTTGCAACTTTATAAAATTGAATGTATAGTTTTAGAAACTTTGTTTTAAAACTATTATTGTTCTATTGTGAAAAAGTTCTTGCTTTTTCCTTGCAATTGCCACTTTACTTATTATTCGTGTTAAAGTGTATTTGTTTAAAAGTCAGGATCGTTCAAAATTAAAATAGCATTTCATTTCTGTTTCTGCAAAGTTGAATTATTGAGTCTGATTATACGTGATATTATCTACCATTAACATTCAATATTGATTGTATAAAATCATATTGTCAACTATTTTCCTTGTTACTACTTGCCATAAATATTTAATGAACTTTAAGATTTTTCAAATGTTAAACGTATAATTTTTTAAAACTATGTTTTACTCTACTCATTCATTTGTATTGATGTGTTTTATTTTTAGTTGTTTGCAACTGTATTTTTTGCAATCGCAAAAATACCTGCGATTTGAAATTATAGGAAAAATAAAAATTAATAGCAACAACAAAATGATTAAATAAAAATTGTATGGACTTAAACATTTTGCAAATGGTTAGGATAATTTTTTTCTGAGTTTGTTTTATGATATTCTTACTTTGTATTAATGTTGTACGTTTTTTTTGTTATTGTTTACAAAGTTATTGTTTTTGTCACTGGGTAACTTTTTTTTTGCTTCTTCCCAAAATGTACCATTTGATCGGTTTCATGATAAATAATCGTTAAGACTATATAGACATTAAGGATTATTGTTAATCTTGTTTTGGGTGTTAAATCAGCTTAATATTTATTTCATGCTTGTTTGTAGGTTTTAGTAGGCAATTTACCTGATGATTTTCTAAGATTCAATGAAGAAAATCCAAATCCAGAGTTAATTACTAATGGCCATTCACAAAATCCTTCACAAGTGGGCCAACAACAGCAACATCACCATATGGCCCCACAACCTATGGTGAATCAAATCACTATAACCATTGTTCAAGTAAGCAAAGGTTTCTTGTTTATGTAAGCAATTTTTTTTTGTGAATAAGCTTTCCATTAATAAAATATTCTTTTTATCTTATATAATTATTATTTTTTTGCTTTATTTGAATTTTTTTTTCTTTCTTTCTTGATTTGCACTTAATTCATTATCTTTTACTCGGGTGCATAATTTATACTATATGTGATATAAATATAAAACTTACTTTGGTTTCTTTTTTGTATAAATAGTACATTTTAACTATGCAGAAAGAACTCTAAAGTATAATTTCAAATAAAAACCATCTTTACTGTCAATTTGGGCTACATTGGTTCATATGGGGTTACTCTAGTCCTACATAAGAAAAAATTATTAGTTTTGACTGTTAATCAAAACAAAGCATACATTAATTTTTGGTCTTAAAAAATGGTTTATACACTTGTTAAGGCTATTTTAGTATTTTTCGGTAATTAAAAAACTTGTTATGGCTAGACTGGAGTTTTTGTAAACTTTGGTTTTGATGAGTTTTTACCATCAAACATACGATTGTGGATGGATCCAGTTACATGATAAAGATTAGGTAAATGTCAAAATACTCCTTTATGTAGCCTGTCCAATGTGCTGTATTCCCCCCTTGTTAGCGATAAATATTTCATAAACACAACCTAAAAACCAAGTTTTCTGAGCCATTTTATACCAAGTCTGAAAAAATGGATATTCTTGTTTATGAGTGCTCTGAATCTCAAGGGAAGAAGAAAAAAAAAAAAAAAAAAAAAAAAAAACCTTCCAAGCTAATGAATCATGAATACTTTACTATTCATGAGATAACTATTACCAGTTAGAATGAAAAGTTTAGCTTCCAAAAGTCATAAGAACATTGTCATGTTTTTCAAATCAAAAAATCTATATTTTTAAAAGTTTAAATATGTAAAATAATTTATTTTTTTCAATTTACTGCATCATTTTTTTCTGATTCTTGTGAAAGGGGTTATATAGTCTAACATAGTCTTGTGTTCAATTTTTTAAAAATAAGTGAATGTTCCAAAGAAGTCTCGAACAGGAGTTACTTTGACTCAAAAATTCCAAAACAGTAAAAATATAGAAAAAAGAAGTTTTGTTTTCTTAAAATTTTCTAACTTACTTCGTTATAATTTGTTAATTGATTAAAACACGATTTGGACATTGTTTGTCCATTTATTATATTTTTATTAACAAAAATGTTTCCAAAAAAAAGTAGTCAAGGTATGTTTAAGTTATTTATCTTTTTAGATGAATAATTTTATCATAGTTGTAGGTGCCTTCTGTAAATTAAAGCTAGTGGAGTATGTACCAATTTGTTTCAACTTTTAAGTTGAATATACATTTAAAAATTGTCAACTTTTCAAACAATTCTGATAAATATTTTGACACATGATGATTCTTTATTACCCATTGGCCAAATGGGTCTTGATTTGGATTTCATAGCGTCATCACTTTTCAACTACAATAATCAAGAGTAATAGTAAACAGTGTACACGCGTTGCTATGATGACCGCTGCAGTTTGATAATTTTTTTAGAATTCTTTTTTTTCTCCCACTTTTAATTTTGTTACGCATTAAGTTGGTGAGTTTATTTTTGAGATATGCAACCAGAAAGGTCCCATAAATACTTCTTGGGTTGTGAAAGAAATAAAATTTCATAATTTAAACAATATTTTTTTTTTATTGTTTTATTTAAGAATAACCTATAGTTCAAACTGGATCGTTTTCAGTACTAATTCAGGTGAATATCACAAATAAAGAGGGTCTAAACTGATTTACACAGTCCCAAAAGTTAGAGTTGAAGCAAGAAAGAAATTATGCCAAGGCCTAAAATTACTGAGGCTGAAGAAACCAAAGAGTGTGGAGAGGAATACCTTCAGTATTACACACAAANTATGGCCCCACAACCTATGGTGAATCAAATCACTATAACCATTGTTCAAGTAAGCAAAGGTTTCTTGTTTATGTAAGCAATTTTTTTTTGTGAATAAGCTTTCCATTAATAAAATATTCTTTTTATCTTATATAATTATTATTTTTTTGCTTTATTTGAATTTTTTTTCTTTCTTTCTTGATTTGCACTTAATTCATTATCTTTTATTTGGGTGCATATTTTATACTATATGTGATATAAATATAAAACTTACTTTGGTTTCTTTTTTGTATAAAAAGTACATTTTAACTATAATGCAGAAAGAACTCTAAAGTATAATTTCAAATAAAAACCATCTTTACTGTCAATTTGGGCTACATTGGTTCATATGGGGTTACTTTAGTCCTACACAAGAAAAAATTATTAGTTTTGACTGTTAGTAAAAACAAAGCGTATATTAATTTTTGGTCTTAAAAAATGGTTTATACATACACTTGTTAAGGCTATTTTAGTATTTTTCGGTAATTAAAAAACTTGTCATGCTAGACTGGAGTTTTTGTAAACTTTGGTTTTGATGAGTTTTAACCATCAAACATACGATTGTGGATGGATCCAGTTACTAGATAAAAATTAGGTAAATGTCAAAATACTCCTTTATGTAGCCTGTCCAATGTGCTGTATTCCCACCTCCCCTTGTTGGCGATAAAGATTTCATAAACACAACCTAAAAACCAAGTTTTCTGAGCCATTTTATACCAAGTCTGAAAAAATGGATATTCTTGTTTATGAGTGCACTGAATCTCAAGGGAAGAAGAATAAAATAGAAAAAAAAACCTTCCAAGCTAATGAATCATGAATACTTTACTATTCATGAGATAACTATTAGCAGTTAGAATGAAAAGTTTAGCTTCCAAAAGTCGTAAGGTCAAATCAAGAAATCTATATTTTTTAATGTTTAAATATATGTAAAATAATTTATTTTTGTTAATTTACTGCATAATTTTTTTCTGATTCTTGTGAAAGGGGTTATATAGTCTAACATAGTCTTGTGTTCAATTTTTTAAAAATAAGTGAATGTTCCAAAGAAGTCTCGAACAGGAGATACTTTAACTCAAAAATTCCAAAACAGTAAAAATATAGAAAAAAGAAGTTTTGTTTTCTTTAAATTTTCTAGCTTACTTCGTTATAATTTGTTAATCGATTAAAACACGATTTGGACATTGTTTGTCCATTTATTATATTTTTATTAGCAAAAATATTTCAGAAAAAAGTAGTTCAAAGTAGTCAAGGTATGTTTAAATTATTTATCTTTCTAGATGAATAATTTAATCATAGTTGTAGGTGCCTTCTGTAAATTAGAGCTAGTGGAGTATGTACCAATTTGTTTCAACTTTTAAGTTGAATATACATTTAAGAATTGTCAACTTTTCAAACAATTCTGATAAATATTTTGTCACCTGATGATTCTTTATTACCCATTGGCAAAACGGATCTTGGTTTGGATTTCATGGCGTCGTCACTTTTCAACTACAATAATCAAGAGTAATAGTGCACATCCGTTGCTATGATGACCGCTGCAGTTTGATAATTTTTTTAGAATTCTTTTTTTTTTCCACTTTTAATTGTGTTAGGCATTAAGTTGGTGAGTTTATTTTTGAGATATGGAACCAGAAAGGTCCCATAAATACTTCTTGGGTTGTGAAAGAAAGAAAATTTCATAATTTAAACAATATTTTTTTGTTTTTATTGTTTTATTTAAGAATAACCTATAGTTCAAACTGGATCGTTTTCAATACTAATTCAGGTGAATATCACAAATAAAGAGGGTCTAAACTGATTTACACAGTCCCAAAAGTTAGAGTTGAAGCAAGAAAGAAATTATGCCAAGGCCTAAAATTACTGAGGCTGAAGAAACCAAAGAGTGTGGAGAGGAATACCTTCAGTGTTACACACAAACAGAGAAACGAAGGATTTTGTTTGCAAACGCAAGCATGAAGGCCGTCCCTCCCAAAAGTACCGAAGGTGGTTGAGAGAATTGAATCCTACTGAAGAGCGAATGGTGACTCTCCGAACCCCTTTCATGCAAATACGAGAACTAAGTGTTGATCACCAGTTAGAGATAAAAAGAATTCATTGTCAACGTACCTAATAACTTACACAAGATCGTAGACTGTTTTGTACATAATATGAATGATTCATTCACTATTCATGTAAAATTGAGAAAAAGCCTAGCTTTCAAATCCTATTTCATGAATAAACTTGCGAATCCCAAACGCGTGTGTGATGCGGCTTACAATCTCCGTCAAACACCTTTGTACCCATCTAAAAATGTTAATATTGATCTCAATTGGCTGTTCAATGTCTATTCAGTCATCAAAAGAGTTTACACAGAATGTGCCTGAGCTGCATTTAAATATGTTTGCGAAATTGTGTACCGAGCAGTTCAGGATTAACAGTTCAAGATGTCCAAGATGAAAACACAATAAAGTTTCTTTTCCAATAAAAATAAGACCACAACCATTTTGCCAATGGGTAACCTGTGATCACCTTGTGGCGATCACAATTTTCTTCTTTTTTCAGTGAATAGTTTTTTTTTATTTCTTCATGATTATTCTTTTTTCAGTATTTTAAATAATTCGGTTAGAAAATTAAATTATAAGAAATTTAAAAAAAAAAAACGTTATTTTGAATAAAAGTTTATTTTAATTATTCAAAAACTTATACTACTGCATTTAGTTCGACCAGTTCACTATTTCATCAATTTCTTATTGTATAATTCGTATGAATTCTCATTTTAAAGTAATGGTTATCAAAAAAAAAATTCACTCTCTTTAAATTGTTGTATAAACTTCCATAATGAATAAAAGTTGTTTTCATTGCTTTGAATATTTTATATTAAGTAAAATGGTTTATTTACAGACAATGAGAGGAGGTATAGAGGAAATCTTTATTCTTGGGTGTTTAAACTGATTGAGGTTTTTCATCGTTTTACAACTACAGCAGCTTTTGATTCTTCTAATTCATATCTGGCTAGTCTCAAAAATGGACATTTGTTTTTGAGCGCAAGAAAGATGTGGACTGTTGTTTAAAACTTGTATATTTTTTAGATGAATGAAATTCTTAATCAAGTAAAAACAACAGCAGCTTTAACAATTCACAGTAAATTCAGAGTGTCAGTTGGCCCACCTCAGAAAACCCTCAATGTTTTCTACATAAAGCAATGTTTAAAATAAAAAAGAATTGATTCATAAATTTTTAGAAATAAAGAAAAACAGTAATTTTTAAAATTATTAAAACTGTTGTGTTTAAAAATAATTCGGTTATTAAAGTAAAATATTGATTAATTTATAAATTTTATCTAGATTTTAGTTCATTTTTGAATTCTGTATTTTTTTCATTGCATATTGTGTATATGTTGTTGCTATTTTAAGTTCATATCAGAAATCCAGGAAATATGCCAGTATTTCGGATTTGGGGACTCACACTGTATATTTGTTGAATATTTTGATATTGAACTTTGTTTGCTTTGAGATTTTTTTTCAGTTGATTGATGTTAAAATCGACATAGTTTGTATTCATTAGTATCCAGTGTTATGAAATGTTGAACTTATATACCGTAACTGAAATAAAATATTATTTATTTTGTAAAGTATGTAGTTTTTTTTAAAACTTATGATTTGGATTAAAAAACTAAATTAAGTAGATTGTCTTTGTTTACAAACCTTATGAGATTAAAGCGTAAAAGTCTCTTGAGATTAGAAAGCTTTCAGGTCTCTAAAATCTTTCGTATTCAATCATTTAAATGTTATTATTTAAACTGTTTACGACAGATTGTAAAGAATTAGTAATTACTTTGGTTAACTGTTTCAAGATTAACTATAAATTTTATATATTTTTGTAATACTGTGTAATTAAAATTTTAAATTAAATACCTTTTCTGTTTGAGACCCAAAGTTGTGAACTACTGGAACAGAAAAGTTCATACTTAACAGCCTGAATCTACTACCATTACTATGGATGAAAAAGATCCTTACCCTCTTATGAATGGTGGGCGAATATGCGTATAAACCAATTTTCTTTGCGTGTATAATTTAGTAATAATTTTGTGGGTTTATTTCAGGCTGAACTCACTAAAAGTTATAGCTTGACCAAAATGGATCCATATGTGAGAGTTAGAATAGGTCACTCTGTGTATGAAACCCATACATCGATTAGAGGAGGCAAATTTCCTCGATGGAATAAGATAATTACATCGTAAGTTCTTTTTAATTAAATGTACTCACATAAATTTTTTTTTTTAATTCTCTAAATGTAACTTTATTTTTTTGGAATGGGACTGGTTTTTAGTTTATTAATCTATTAAATGAAATCAACTTTTTCTTCAATAATGTTAGCTTTTTCATAATGCCAGTTTCTCAATAATGTTGACTTGCACTTTTTGTTGCATGACTAAAATTTTAAATATTGAATCTTATCTTCAAATTAGGGTTACATTTCCCTGTAAGTGTTTTCTAAATGAATTTTCCAGTTTTGTAATTTTTGCATTTTTGAGACCTATGCTAATTTTGATTGTATCCAAATATTAAGCGATAATTAATGTAAATTAATTAATTACTTTAATTGGCTTTATTAATGAACTTTTTCATAATGTCAGCCTGCACCAATTGTTGCATGGCTAAAAGAATTTTAAATCTTATCTTCAAATGAGGGCAACATTTTCTAGTTTATATTTTTTAAAATATATGTTCTAGTTATATAATTTTTACATTATTGAATCTTATGCAGATTTTGGTTGCATTCAATTGACAAGTGATTAATTATGGTAAATTTTACTGGGATTCATTCGCTAATTTATGTATGTAATAGGATTTTATTAATGTATTTAATGTCTGCTTAATTCAATGTGTATGGTTATCTATTTGATATAATTACAAAAATAAGTTATAGAAAGTGTTACAAAAAATGGATTGTGTTACAAAAAAAAAAAAAAAAAATTATTGTTAAAAGATATTGTAGTAGCAAAATTTACTCAGCTGTGATGAAATCAGCATAAGAGTGGAAGCATAAGTGTAAAATTGTAGATATTCTTTAAAAAGAAAAAAATACACAAAAAGTGATTCTCCACACTATGTTATACAAGATTTTCTTTCTTTTTTGAAGTATTTATAATTAAACCATGCCCAATAGCAAGTCTTATATGCGTGCATTATGAAATAAATTTTGAGAACTTACACTTTTAGAACTTTTGAGAACTTACATATGAATTTGTTTCATTTAATTTTTCAGTGAATTGTTTTACTTTGGTAAAATTTCAGTTTATGTTTTGATTTAGAAACTTGTAATTTTTTCTTTGTTGCATTTCTGCATTTTGATATTTTACAATTTTTTTAAATTCTATTTTACTGATTTTATTTTCTAACATTTTTATAAAGAAAGCTAACTAAAACATTTATTATGGTACCTAAATATAAATAGTTTTATTAATAAATGGACTATATGTTCAGTAACAACAAACATAACAGTAACAGTAAGCTGTAAACATAAATTAATACAATAGATAATTGACCAATTGGTTTCATTTAATTTTTCTTCAGAGAATTGTTTTATTTTAGTAAAATTTCAGTTTGTGTTTTGGTTTTGAGTCTTGTAATTTTTTTTGTAGCATATCTGTATTTTTTTCTATCATTTTTAAGAATTCTGTTTAACTGATTTTGTTTCTTAACACTTTCATTAAGAAGACTAAAACATTTATTGTGGTACCTAATATAAATGGTTATATCAATAAATGGTACTCTTAAACCCTCTTCTTAAACTTTAAATGGTTCTAAGTTCTGTTTTTAATTACAAATAGTCTTCTTTTTCTCTTTTCTTTTGCTGAAATATGCTAGGAGCCCTGTAAATGTTTCCTTATTTTAATAGGTTCAAAACAAAGCGATTTTAAATACATGTCATTATATGTTGAAAATTCAACATATGTGGTTAAATAAAATTTTTAAAATTTTGACGTTTATTTATATAAATTGTTTTTCAAAATTAGTTGATATGAAACCCTAATTTTTCATTGTTGTATTTATAGCTACCTTGATCCTGGTATAAAGACCATTCACTTTGAAATGTTTGATGAGGTAATATCTTTATAAATTTTTAAATATGCTTGTATTTTCAACTGATCATAATTGTATTTAATTTTAATTCAATTTTTAGAATATATATATAAGTCTATTGTTGGAATACCAAATTTGTGATGTACCTAATAAATTTTTTTAGTGCACCCTCACTCCTGATGAAAGAATAGCATATGCTGATTTAGTCATTCCTGATGATGTTTTTCAAGGCAAATTGTTTGATGAAAACATTCCCCTCAGTGGTAAACAAGGAACAGACAAAGAAGGCTTTTTAAGTATTACAATGCATATGAAGGTAAAAATTAAAATTTCAATAAGTGCTCACATATTTCAGTTTATTGTTTGAGATATTTTTTTTAAATTTGAAATAGTATGTGGTATATTTTTATCTTATGAAGCATTGCTTAAGTGATAATTTTTTTTTAGTCTGTACCATATTGGTCTACTGTGTCTGCACCGACCCTAATGATTACACCTGACCTGCCATATTATACCCGGCAATACGGAAACCCGATGCTTGGACGTTAGTATAAAAAGTTTTCTAGAATAATTCTGTTAAAGTAAATTTTAAATAAATGTGGCCTTTTTTGACATATCACGGGTTTAATCACCATCAAAAGTTAATTGAATCATGGTTATTAAATCTATCATGGTATTATTTTAGATGAATGTTTATGTTCTTTTATGATGATTTATTTTCTTTTTAGTTCCCCGTATACAAACTATGCAATACCAACCACCACCTGTACAATACCAGCAACCACCTGTACAATACCAGCAACCACCTATGGTAAATCCAAATTATGCATATCCTGCAGTTCAGCCACAACCTTACCGTCCTAGTGAAGAAGAAATAAAACAAGTAAATAATTCTTTTTTTTTTTTTAGCGTTGGTTTTATAAATTTACTTGAAATATAACAGTGTAAAAAAATAATGAAACTATCAAGTGTGGATTACAAAATGTATCGTTTCAATTTTAACTAGTTATTTAAAATATATTTTTTAGTAGTTTACATTTGATTTTTATTATTAATTAATACCTTTAAAAATTGCTTTCTTGTTTTTAATTAAAATTGCCTTTTTTACGTCTTAAGTGAGAGGCTCAAATGCAGAACTATTGTGTTGACAAAACAAAAAACGGGAAAAATTCTATAACTATCTGGGTTTTAAACAAGCTCAAAATCGAAATACTTAATGTAAATTGAAACGGCAATGTATTTATGCTGAATCTGGAAAAAACCTTTCTATACAGGAATGGGAATGCGGCAAACTTATATTTTTGAGAGGGGAAAATCCCTTTTTGCTTTTTTTTGTATTTAAATACAAAGTTGCATTTAAATTAAAGTTGAATTAAAATTCAACTTAATTTTAAATAACATAAGGTTTTTATGTTTAATTCTTAGGCCGAGATAGCCTAAAAATTAAACGGTCGGTAGGGCGCTGGGCCCATGCCTGAGAGTTTGTGGGTTTGAACCCTGCCTGCCGAATACTTATTGTGTAGTTGGTGACTGATGCATGTTAAAATTCTGCCATGTTCCCATAACAAATCAATACCTCTGAAGGTACTGGATTGGAGACCGACCGTTCTCTGATTCAGGTCAAAATTTTGATCTGTGGATGAATGAATGGGTTCGCCTTATAAACGAGTGTGACGTATGATGTGCAAAAGTCGAATTCTTGGCCATAGATGGCGCCACTGAAGAGCAAGAATCGCACACTCTGCCTTAAATTTGCTCGGTTTCACCAAGCAGGCTTGCCGTGTGGCAAGTGGCATTAAACCATGTTTAATTTTTGAATACTTTATAATTTATTAATTTTATCACATGCATTTTAANGCAAAAGTCAAATTCTTGGCCATAGATGGCGCCACTGAAAAGCAAGAATCGCACACTCTGCCTTAAATTTGCTCGGTTTCACCAAGCAGGCTTGCCGTGTGGCAAGTGGCATTAAACCATGTTTAATTTTTGAATACTTTATAATTTATTAATTTTATCACATGCATTTTAAATTGAGTTGAATTGAAATTCAACTTAAATTTAAACTGCATAAATTTTTTATGTTACGATTTTTAAAGATTTTATAATTTGTAAATTTTGTCACATCTATTTTAAATTAAATTGATTTAAAATTCAACTTGAAAATACATGTGACAAAATTTACAAAGTTGATTAAGTTGAATTAAAATTCAACTTAATTTTTAACAACATAGAGCTTTTATGTATAATTTTAAAAACTTTATAATTTGTAAATTCTATCACATGTATTTTAGATTAAGTTGAATTAAACTTTAACTTTATTTTAAATGACAGAAAGTTTTATTTTTAAGACTTGTAGAGATTATAATTTGTAAATTCAGCCACCTTTTTTTAGATTAAGTTGAATTAAAACTCAACTTAAATTTTAACAACAAAAGTTTTTATGCATAATTTTTAAATTCTTTTTAATATGCAAATTTTGCCATTCATATTTTAGATCAAGTTGAGTTTGTTTTTACAATAATAATCTTCGTCTATGTTAAGGTCCCAAATTGTTTTTACAATAATAATCTTCGTCTATGGTAAGGTCCCAAATGAAATCAGGTATATGAAGATAGTGCTTCAGATTCACTGTATGAATTCTGCTACCGGAGTCACGTTTAATTCGTTGTTATTTTTAAAAAATATTTATGAATATGTGTATTCTGTATATGTATTCTGTATATGTGTATTTATGAATATGTGTTTTTGTTATTCTTTTAGATGCAAGAAATGTTCCCTGCCTATGATCGGGAAGTTATTCTGAGTGTCTTAGAAAATTGCCATGGAAACAAAGATCAAGTCATAACATCTCTTTTGTCTCTTTCAGACAAATAACTGTGATGAAGAACATTTTTCTTTTTGGATTTTTTGTATCATACCGTGCTGAAAATAAATGTTCTTGAAGACAAAATTTTCAAAATAATTTTCGGTTGTGAAATTACCTTCTATAAGTGCTTTCAGAAATTTAGCGTAATGTTTATAAATTTTATAATTGTAATTATATGTTTAAAAAAATGTTTATTCAAGAAATGTAATGAGTAGTTGTTTGAATTTTACACGTTTTTGTCAAAGGAGAGCTTGAAAATTATTTTATAGCTTGCTCTTAAGATTGCACTTCAAAATATTTGTAATTTAATTACTGTATTATAATATTCGTTTAAAGGAATGTGATATTAAAAGAATTACTACATTTAGTTTTATTTTTGTTATTTAAAAACATCATTCATAACCTATGATAATAATCAATATATAAGGCAGGTTTACTGTAGAATGTGATTANAAAGTTCACTACCGAGTGTTCACTATATCCCAGGTTCACTATAGCGGGGTTCGACTGTAATCAATATATAAGGCAGGTTTACTGTAGAATGTGATTAGAATCTTGTTGGTAGTTGGCTAATAATATGAACTATCATTAAAATTTTTTCAGGCAAAGTAAAAATAGTTTTTTTGAATTTGGAAAGAATTTTTTTAAGCATGAGATTCTTCTTTGAGTTTGCAGTTTTTTGCTTTTTATCATCTTCTTTTTTAAAACTTTTTTTTTTGTATCATTCTATTAAATTTCTATTATATTTTCTAATCCTTAACATATAAGACAGTTTAAAAATTGAAATTATGTAATTTGCATGAAAATTATTTAATTGAATAGTAATTTTTTCAGTTATATTAAATAATTGATTTGAAAAGGGCAATTCCACCGTTTAAGAATGTCATATTTGAAAACTTTAGCATGTTATAATTCAATTTAAAAAAATTGAGCAGCTCTAATAATTATTGTTGAAATAATCCTGGATGTAATTTACACTTTCTCCAAATTTTAGTTATTTCCATTTGTTAAAAAATAAAATTCTTGAAGTGAATTTTTTTAAGCATGAGATTCTTCTTTGAGTCTGGAATTTTTTCACTTTTTATCATCTTTTTCAAAACTTTTTTTTGTATCATTTTATTAAATTTCTATTATATTCTCTAAGCATATTAACATCTAAGACAGAATGAAAAACTAAAGTTTAAAAATTAAAAACTAGGTATTTAGAACGTAAAACGATATGTTACGTCATAACGGCACGTTTTTTAGCTTTTTTTAAGAAACTTTTAATTCCTAAAAGTTGGAGTAAGTATGAATGGCATCAAGATTTATTTTCACAAATATTAGTAGAGCTGTTCAAATTTTTTAAACTGAGTTAAAAAAAATTTGAATTCGACATTTCTAAATAGTGAAATACCCAAAACAAATTTTATTCTATTAAAAATTGTTGATTAAAGTTTGCATAAATGCATAATTAAAGATCTAAAGCTTTATATTAATTATTTCCGAAGGAAACAAATACCCGTGACTATCTTGGCTTTTTTTTATGCCGACCCATTTTACTCCATAGTCTTGTCATTTGGAACCCAAACCAGAAGAGTTATTTTATATCAATTTTGTATTATAAGTAAAAAATATTATATTTACCATTTTAATAATTTATTGTGAAATACCGGTATCTTTTTCTGTGTTAAAACTGAAATCTTCCAAACAAAGCTCGCTTACAAACGATAATTTTTAAAATTTGCACTTATTTGCAGTAATTTAGATCTAAAAGAAACAGTTATTCATAATTCAAATTTCTATAATTTACAAAATCAATGATTGATATATTTTTGAATACGAATGAAAAAAAATTCCTAACTACTTTTCGTGATTTTTATATTTTAGTACAAATATAATTCAGATAATTTAAGCGAGTTTTCTTTAGTAAATATTAGACTATTTTTATAATAAAAAAATACCAAAAAATATTTTTCTGTGTAATTAGAGCATAAGAAGAAAAAAAATTTAATATTGGTTTGTTACACTTATGTCTTCCTTCTCCTTTGTTGCAGTTAGAAATTCCTGATTATCCCCACCCTTCTCCCAACTGTATTTTGAAATGAATGCGAAAATCTGTAAAAAATACATAAATATGAGTGTAAAAGTTTAATTTTTTTTTGTTGGAAAAAATTTAAAATATTTCTAGTTACAATTTTAAGTTATAACCACCAGAAGCTGCTGACAGTCGCGGTTGGGGCCCTCTTGCCATACACCTATATTGTCATTATTTCTATATTTATGTTTTATTTTTATAACCGCCGTAGAACAGCCGACCCAATTTTGAGTTTAGGACCACCTATGTTCAACTCCATAAGCATTGTACTTATGAACCCTGCACCAGAAGACAACGGAACTCCCGAATCTAGTATTGGCCTTCATGGAGGTCTTTTTGATGGCACTACCCCGCATTTGCGGAAGAAAGCGATGAGAATCTCCTACAGTTAGCCCGACAGTAAGGGGACTCTCACCCATGCAGTGCTGGATTAAGCGTACGCGGGCGTTCTAGACCATTCAAATTTTTGTGGCCCATAGATTAAATTTTTTTTTCTCGTATATTTTTTATTTATTCAAATATAAAAGTATTTATATATCGTTTAATTTAAGAAAGCATATTTAAAATTAAAATAAATAATAATGAATTATATTTTACTTCATTTAGTAAAATTAGAACTAAAAAATAATCATAACATATATATTTGAAATTGATTTTTTTTAAATCATTGTTTTTCTAAATTTTTTAAAATTTATTTTCAAAAAATCCATTTTAAGGGGGCCNAAGGCACTCCAGGGATCTTTTACATGCCGCATAACCATACGACATGGCCGCTGAGGATTTTCTGCATCCTGAAAGTCCAGTGTCTGAGCCGGGGATCGAACCCGCAGACTTGGGCTCAGAAGGCCGACGACAAACCAACTGCGCCACCCAGCCATTTATATAAATATGAAAGTATTTATTTATGTTTTCATTTAAGAAAGCATATTTGAAATTAAAATAAATAATAATAAATTAAATTTTACTTTATTTTGTTAAATTATAACTAAAAAATATTCATAACATATATATTTGAAATTAAATTTTTTTAAATCATTGTTTTTCTTAATTTTTTAAAATTTATTTTCAAAAAATCCATTTTAAGGGGGCCCCTAATCATTGAGGGCCCTAGGCCATGGCCTAGTCTGGCCTAATGGGCAATCCGGCACTGCACCCATGATACATCTACCACTGAGGTCGGTGATGCGGCCCGTCAGCACCACTGTCGGTGCTAGCCGGATACAGAATTCGTATCGACCAGCCATCGCTGGGATTCGAACCCGGTATACCTCATAGAGAGGCGAGTGCTCTATATTTATGTTTAAATCGTACATATACTCAACTATATGCCTATTCATTATCTTATCTCTTTGAGTTCTGTCAGATTTGATAAATCAGTGAGAGGCACCACCAGGGCTGGTACAGAGTAACTAGAACAATTCTGATTTTTCTTTTCAGTTCATATTACTTGGAAATATCATTCTCAAAACGTATTAAATTTCAAAGGTGTGTGAATGTGAGAGATGTTCATTGTAATACGACATTTTAATTAATAAAATGCATACCACGTCGGTAAATGGCTCAGGTATCCTTAAAAATACAAATTAAATTTCAAAATAATACTTTTAAAACATCCTTTTAAAGTTAAAAATTAGTAATTAAAAACTTGCTTTTCAGAACCGTGATGTTCAGAAGACAAAAAATCATGTCTATCAGAAAAATTCCATAGCTCGTGAAATAAGGAAATTAGTCTGTATAATTGTTAGCGTGAATGATCGACAGCCAGAGAATGTCAACAATCACATAGTCACTTTGGTGAATGTCCGAAATATTTCATGTTAATCTATTCGCTGATATTATTATATTTATTCGATATTTTAACATCTGATGAGGAGAGATTAGGAGAAACATCAGTNTACACAGCATTACGAAAAATTTAGAAAGGGTACACAACAGTCATAAGTTTGGGAAACACTGATGTAGGGCATACCGGGCAGTGGCACTTAACTAGACCTAGTATATAGTATTTCGGACATTTACCAAAGCGACTATGTGATCGTCAACATTCACCGGTGGAAGTCAACAACCACTAACTTCGGTCATTCACAATTACATAGTCTAAGAGTGGGTGTTGTAGTGTAAGGTTCATCCGTTCCCCTCCTTTTTTTGAGAACTCAAAAAATCGCCTTCAATCTGCAAAGGCGTAAGAAAACTTTCGCTAATGATCAATGATAGGAATTCATTAAAATTTAAAAACAGGAAAGTGATGAAAATAACACGGGGAAACAATTTTTTTCGATTGCATGAGAGTTTTGATATTGATCTTATATATTTCGGAAATCTATATTCGGTTTCTCTCTACACGCTATAGTTGTTTCGCAATTTAATTATATGTTCCTAAGCAATATATTTTAAAGTTTACTCGTGTGAAGACAAAGTGCTTACTTAGGGAGTGTTTGGAAGAAAGCGGTAATAGTTTATGAGGCAGTAAGTTTAGGTAATCTGTATTTTTTTTTCTCTCCAAAGGAGCAGAAATGCGTATATGTATGTCTGAACCGTAGTGGCTTAGGGGATAGAACGCTCGCCACCCTATGAGGTGTACCGGGTTCGAATCCCAGAGATGGCTGGTCGATTTGAATTGCGCACTCGCCTCGCACCGACCACAGTGCTGACGTATCCTCAGTGATAGATGTATCCGTTCTCAGATCATGGGTTAGAGTCCCTGGGATAGAGATCATGGTACAGATCATGGGTTAGAGTCTCCTTACCGTCATGCTAACCGTGGGAGTTTTTCGTGGCTTTTCTCTCCATGTAAAGCAAATGCGGGTAAGTTCCATCAAAAAGTCTTCCGTGAAGGCAAATTTCTCCCAATACTTGATCCAGGCATTCCCTTGTCTTCTGGATTGTGTTCCAAATGACAAGCCTACGGAGTTGTACAATTGTAGTCGTAAAGGGCCGGGATAGCCTGGTCGGTAGGGTGCTGCGCCCAAGTCCAAGAGGTCGTGGGTTCGATCCTCGCCGGCCGAACACTCCCGTGTAGTAAATGGTGACTGATGCACGTTAAATCTGTCGAGTCTCAAAGTCCTCCATGTTCCCATAACAAATCAGTACCTCTGGGGGTACTGATCCTTGTCTTCCGGATTGGGTTCAAAATTACAAGGCTACGGAGTTGAACATTAGTAGTCGTAAACCCATTAAATTGGGTCGGCTGTTCAACGACGGTTATAAAATAAAATAAAAAATTGTAGTCGTAAACTGTAAATTGGGTCGGCTGTTTATAAACCAAAATATATGTATGTCTTTAAACCTATATATTCCTAATAAACCTGTACATTTAGAGAAAAAATAAACTAAACTAAAAATGTGATTTTGAAAAAAAATATGTAGCTTCCAAAAAAAAAAAAAACTAATTTCAAATTTGAAATCCCCACATCCGAATAAGGTAGCATTTAGTTTTAATATAAATATAACAAAAAATTTCTTTCTTAGTGTAATTTAAATAATTATATCAAGATAAATTATACCAAAATTTTTTTGAAACATTACGTGTTTACAAAGTTAAAAATAAATCCTGCTTACAATTTCAAAATCTGTACTGTAAAATCTTAAGCAGAAAGCGTAAAAAAACAGTAACTATGACTTTATGAGTACTTCGTCAGATTTTATTCGTTATACAATATTTAATGTGGTGGTCTAATTTATGATGTTCTGTTTAATTCTTGTAAATTCAATTTAGAATGATTTTATATAAATTCAATATAATAATACTTATCTTATAATACTTATAAATAAATTTAACATATACAGTATACTCTCGATATCTTATATTGAAGGGAAGCTAAAAAAATTTCGAGATAGCGAGTTTTCAAGATAACAAGTTCAGAACTAAATATAATCTAAAAATTAGTAAAATATATTCTAAATATTACTCTAAAAATAGAGTCATGATACATGAGAATAACTACTAATAAATATGTTTGTATTGATAGTTGACTATAATAATACTCTAAATACAACAATGATAATTTTATTTTTAAGAGTTAGACGAAAATAAAAATGCATTAAATAGAAAAGAATTGGTTTACAGTAAATTTACATTGTGATTTTTCAGAAAAAATTCATTTTCTATTTAGAAAAAAAATTCGACATAACAAGGTTTTGAGGAGAAAATCTTTGACATAGGAATTCAAATTAACATTAGGATGATATAAAATACCAAGGGGAAAGTATTTTTTTGACATAACAAGGTTTTCGAAATATCGAAGTTCGAGATATCGAGAGTACTGTATATTAATGCATGAACTGATTGAATTTAAAAGAAAATCCATGTGCATACTAAAGCAATCTTATTGTAAGTTTATTAAGCTTGGTCGCATAGAGTTAAAGTTAGCATTATATTCAGCTGATTAATGATCTTGTTTTGTTTATGAGTCTCGAATAAAATGTAAATTTATTATGTCATTTTCATATTATTTTTTTTAAGTACACCTCAAATGATTCTTACGATAATCAGCATTGCGATCTAAGGAAAAGACATTTCTTACATAAAATTTTATAATTAAATATTTTTATTGTTCTTGTAATCGGTATTTTTTCCTTTTCGCGTTCGTCGTTTTATTAAGCCATCGTATAAATAAAAAAATATTTAAATTGTGATTTTACGCGAACCATCATAAAATCAATTGATCTTTTGTTAAAGGAAAAAAATAAACGTTGGAGGAAATTTTTTTTCGTGTATTTAAATCGTAGCTTATAATTATTTAGAGATACTTCGTATCAATATTGTTTTGTACTAGCTCAGAAACATTGAGGAGTTTAGTAGCTGGCATCTCAAGGTGTCGGATATAAAAACTATAAGCATTGTGATCTATGTATATTCCGCGATAATATCGAACAAAATCTAAGTGATACAATTAACTTAAGATAAATTCTGATTACTTTTTTTTTATCAACTATTTATTTTTGAAAGTCATTCATCAAAATTATCAGATAAAGATTTGTAGCTGCTAATATCGTTCAATCAGTTTTCGCGGACTGGAAATAAAAAGGTAAAAATGCCAGAATGATTTATTTTTGCTTCTTATAGTTGTCCTATAAAAAATAAATAAGTGATAGCAGATGTACTTTGAACTAACAATTTAATTTAATTTTAAAGCAAATAAAATATTTACGCTTTAGATTTTACTCACTAAATGTAATCCAATTAAATTGTTAACATATGTTGTTTGTTAAAATATTTTATTTCATTCAAAAAATACAAAAAAATATTCTTACCACAATTCTATTTTTAATAGGATGTTACGCCCACTGTTGTTATTTAACTTATAAAAATTGATTCGCTAACAAGTTTTAATTAATTTTGAAGCTAATAAATTATTTACGCTTTAGATTTCACTGAGTGTAATCCTTTAAATTGTTAACATATGTTGTCTGTTAAAATATCTTGTTTAATTCAAAAAACGCAAAAAAGTATCATAACTCTTTTACCACTATTCTGTTTTTAATAGGATGCTACACCCGATGTTGTTATTTAACTTTTAAAAATTAATTAGCTAATAGGTTTTAATTAATTTTGAAGCTAATAATATATTTACTCTTCAGATTTTATTAACTAAGTGTAATCCTTTTATGTTGTTTGTTAAAATATTTTGTTTCATTCAAATAATGCAAAAAAATATCATAATTCTCTTACCATTATTCAATTTTATATAGGATGTTGTTACGCCCAAGGTTATGATTTAACTTTTAAAAATTAATTCGTTAGATTAGTTTTATCCAATTTTTATTTTAAAATTTAAATTAAAATGAAGTATATAATTAAGAGTAAATTGTGCTAGAGATATTTCACAATTTTAAATTACTAAATTTTGTCAAAAAAATAGTTTTTTTTATCAAGCTTGATAATGTCAAAAAATAAGTAAAAAGTAGTGTCAAATATTTTATGTTGCTTACCGAAATTTTATACGTTTTAATTTTAAGAACTGACTTTTCTCATCTAGTAATATTTCTCTTAGTTTGCTAATATCTATAAGTAGATACAAATTAGTTACTCTATTCTGATTCCTCTCAAAATGTCTACCACTTAACATTTTTTAACGGACCGTTATAATACTGCTTTTAGTTATTCATGTCTACAATCTGACCCAAAATTATAGAAAGAGTATAACCTTCAATTTTTACTCTTACGGAGAATTTTTTTCCCTGCAATTGTGAAAATGCATTTGTATATTAACCAAGGCTACCAACTTTCTACGCTTTCTGTAAAAACTTATTCTAGTGGTAGCAAAGTTAATGTTTTAATGTAATATTTTTTATTCATTTGAACTTATTTTCCACTCCACTATATATAAATGATTTTAAAGTTCACATGCAACGCCACTTTTGTTCTAGCTCTTTCGTGGTAAGGCAATTAAAATATTGGCAAAATTACAAAAAATTCTGAAAGCTTTGGTTTTTAAATGTCTCCCTCACTATAAAATAGTTTGCACAAAACATAGTTAACTTATGGCAGGTATTCCTGTCTGACAACTTTTACGCCTTTTGAAAAAGTATTTTCCTAATGCTAGGGTAAAACGAGCGAAATTGAGATTCTATGTTGGTATTTTGTAAAAATTTAGCGAACAATTGAAAACACTGTTAGGGAGTTAGCAAGCTTTTGTTATCTAGGTTTAAATGTAGTTTATTGCGAAAATCATTTTGAGCCGTCTTTATTTAACCCCTTGGGGACGGGTGATTCAGAAAAGCATTCGTACAAAATCAGAATCAAGTTGCAATAAAATAAAAAACGGTAACTTAAATGTAGTCGTTACTAATTTGACAGACTTACTTTGCTTTTACTTTAATTATTGTTAGTGCAATCATATATATAATCAATGTTAATTCAAAGTACAACTAAATAGTTTTATTTTGAACAAAGTAATGGTGAATTAAATAAATCAGACAATTATAACTCCGCCCACAAATAAACTGCTAAAGAAATACTTTGATTACCAGTTTTATCTTTTCACCCTGATTGATACGGTTTTTTGCTGTCACGTATTTGTGACAGTCGGCGCGAAAGGGTTAATGAAGAATTAAATGTGATTCGAAAAATTTTGCCACCAGATTAAATATAAAAAAAAAATCTTGCGGGAAAACCGGAAGAGTTAGCACGTACGCATTTGAGTGAATTATTTACATACAGTTTAGTTACTTATTTTAAATATTTTGTTTTTATATGTAGGGTAAACTAACCAGTGAAGGAACACTTAAGCTTCGCTTGCCTTTTAAAAAATCATATTAATTTCAAAATTCGTAATTTTACTTAAATGACAGTGTCAACATATTTGCTACTAATTGCAAATTAGGTAAAAAAAATTGTAGAGAACTTACATAATATTGTTTTAAAGTTTTGGAGGTTCAAATAACAAGTAGTAAGAAGACCAAGTGAAGGAACAGCTCTTACCAGCGAAGGAACACAAAATTTCCCAGTAAAGGAACACTTCATTTTGGTTATTTCTTAATGCTCTTTATGAATTTATAAGCCATTCAAATATCTAAAAACAAGCCTATTCTTGTAATTATAACATACAAATACTTGGAAAATGTTAACTTTTATTTTGTAATCATGAATTGAAAAGTAAAGTGTCAACATATTAACACATACTGTTCATTCACTGGGAAATCTATGCCCAGTAAAGGAACATGCCTGTCCTTTCACTGGTTAGAAGTTGTTTTTTGTATTTTTAACATACTTTTGATGCAAAACATCACTAAAGGTACAAGAAAATTAAAGTTTTTCTTTCATTTTCATTAACTTAGAAAAAAACCCAGTAAAGGAACACTTGTTCCTTCACTGGTTTTTCATCGTTTGGTGATCCAGTGAATAAACACCCCCTTATCTCAGTACTTTATTATGCTATGATGCTTAAAAAAAAAAAAACGTAACTTCAATAACTATATTTTGAATTCTCTTTTTCACAGTGAGAAAAATAAAACTATTACATGCAATTAATTCCACTTCAAACATATAAATACAAACACTCACCTTATAATTTTTTCAAAGAAACAAGGTGTTGCAGAGATAATAACAAATTCAAAAATTTTTCCAGAGAAGTCTATTTGACCAGGTAATCCAAAACATTGCTAGATGACTTCCTATTGTTTGGCAGTAAGCTATTGTTACCAATCAATCTGAAGAAAAACTTTCAAATTCTTATTTTTAATCAATGTATATGAAATGTTCCTTCACTGGGTAGTGTTCCTTCACTGGTTGGTTTACACTATGTTTAAATTAATTAGATGTAATGGCAGTAAGAAATAAATTTAATGTAACAAAAATTAAGCATTAAAACATACATTTTGTAACCACTTTAAATATAAAATCTCCCGAAAAATAAGGAAAAGTGAATGCTATGAGGATGAGATTGTACACTGCTACTATTCCAGTCGCCCTAGGGCTTCATCACAAATGGAAATGTGAATTGCATGCTCAGCTGGCAGGAACATTGTATTATTGTACATACATATTATATCCCCCAACCATAGCCAAGTACCGTTTTTCATGTTTTTACCATTCAAGGGTGGCGTTGGGAATGCCAAGCAATTTTGATTCCAATCAAATGATGTAGACATTGCTCGAGCTCAGACTGGTCACTAACTAGAGAAATTAAAGAGTGGTATAAAGTCTGAATATATAAATATATAGGAAAAATAATTGGCTAGCAAATGCAAGAAAAAAGTAAAAATATTAAAAAAATAACGGGCTAGCAAAAGCATGAATAAAATAAACACATAAAGAGATTAAAAAGAAATAAATAAAAGCAGGCGATAAAATTAGAAGCACGAGACAATTTTTTAGAACAACAGAGAGTTGTTGATATTTAGACTATAGTTTTTGTTTTTCGAATTTGAGCTTGGTACTAATCCGTTACGGATTTTCTATATTTGTTTGAAAAGTTACTACTGTCCCGTTACGGGAACTTTAATTAAAAAAAAATATATATATATATTTTCTTTTCTTTAATATAGCTCGATACGTTATAGTGGTAACAAATGTTTAATAAATCTGTTAAAAAAATTTAGCTTTTAATTTCACTTAAATTTCGAGAATTTAGTTGACTATCAAGGTATATTTTCATTAGTTCGCAAATATTTTCGGACAAATAGAAATTAGTTGAAACTCTAAGTTTCCACAATTTCTTCTATCTCTTTTTAAATTTTTCCAGACTGTGGCCAGGTGAATCTTTCTAAACATCTACACAATAAAAAACGAGAGGATTTTTCAGTTTGGACAGATTTTACATCTCGGTTGTTTAATAATCTGCCAGCTTCCGCATTTGACAGATCGTAAAGATACGATTCCTAATAGAACACCAAAGTCAAGCATCACTGGTTTCGGACAGTAAGCGTGTGGATGACCACCTTGATCAACTTCCTTAGGGTCCGAAGGAGTGCGGTATCGGTCCTTATTAAACTGTTCTACCATAAAGTGCTCGATTTCAAGCACAGGTCGTCGGGCTTCCCAAGCGGAGGAGCTTCCCCTCAGCTCAGGATCAAAATTGTGATGACACGTTTTCGGATCATCCTCACGAATTTCCCAGGTTGTCGCTCATAGGCCATTGTGCAAGTACAGTGCGACGTAAATGAAGTTCCTACCTACCTAACTATCTGCCAAGATCGAACTTACGACTTTCAGCTCTCTACCAGCTGTGTGTGAGACACCTTTAATCAACTATGCCCCAGTAGCGCAGAGTTATCTGTGCAAGTAATCATTTATTTTTTATTTACAGTTTCTGAAGAGGGTAAAGACTTAAGATTGCAGTTATGGAGTTCATACTGATGATAGCTCAGGATCTTTTCCATGATCTAATTAACTATCCCTTTTATTCTGCTGTAATAATTATTTTTGTTCTGGGTAGTTTAATGCATTTCTACTGCAGACTGACCCTTGGCATTTGTGATAGTCATCAGGATATGAGGAACAAAACAGTGCTTATAACAGGTGCATCAGCAGGTAAATAAGATTTTTATAAATATATATTTGAATTTGATAATTCTGATTTTGAATTCTAAACGTATCTGTTCAAAAAATTAAATTTCTTCTGAGAGAGGCTTATTATTTCCAGGGCAGCTTCAATTAGAAAGCTGGTGTTAATTTAGAATTTCAAAGAATCTTTCTTGTTAATATTATAACAATAAATTATTAATTTTTAAATTAAATAATTAATTAATTATTTAACTAATTTTAACTCTTTTTCCAAATAAGTTTTTATTAACAAATAAGTTTTTCTTTACTTAATTATAATAAATTTGTTCCAATTTTTAAAACCACCAAGTTGTTTTTAATGCTCTTATAGAGCAATGACTTTTAAATTTACTTTGAAATTATTTTGACCACCACTACATATAAATAAATTAAACACTAACTTTAGATTACATTTTAAGTGACGTTACTAACATTCTCAATAAATTGATAGCGAACTAAGTTGTATAACTTGTAGAATAATGTCACACCTATTCTTTAAAAGGGTCATCTCGAGCTAACATAAGATTACAGTTGTAAAATCTCGAGAACCTAAGTAAGTGTATGTTGCATTTCATATGATACTTCAAATTTTCGATAAATAGTGGTGGAAAAATTACTTAACGCGTTGAATGCCACGTTAATTTTACATGGCTTGCCCGTCTGACCAAACAGTAAATAACTACAAACTATATTTTCAAATACTAGATAGATTTTTCTAGTTTTTTAAAAAGGCTTAGCATGACATATCTGGAACGCTGGAAATGTGTGGAACCTCAGCATTTGGCCCGAAGCCCCACTAGTTGATTCTACGAAGCTATTTTGTCGTAATTTGGTTAGACATAAATTGATACAATAAAGTGAAATGATTGAAGAAGAGGTTGGAGAGACTCCATTGTCAATTTATCAAGTAAAAGTAAACTGCATACAAAACTATATACAAGGAACATGACATTTCTAGTCCTAGTCCTAGTGTTTTGATTTTATTGGGCACCTGGGTCGCGAAGCGACCCCTATCCCATTCATCTGGAATTTTAACACTGTTTTGGCTGAGCATTGAGGTAAGCAGGAAGTGGAATTGCTTTTATGAATGTTTCAAGCACTTTGCATGAATAACTAAAAATGAATAAAAAAATAAAATGAGCAGCTTGCTCTATAATTGTGTTTGTTTGATTTTGGAGTTGTTCAGAATTGTATCAGCATGAGGAAAAGTTATTTTCAGAAAGGTTGATGAAATTATATGTGTTTTGATAGTTATGATATGAAGAATCGGAGGCGAAATGCGCAGCTATTGGTCTGTAGTTTTTATCTTTGATATAATTTTCAAATTTAAAGATTTCATTAAAATTTGCTGTTTTACATTCTATAGCTTTATCGAAAAAATCTGCGTTTAGCTTGTATATATGCTGTGATAGAGTTGGTATTTTGAGGTCTGTATGTATTTTGGGATTCCGGATGAACCATCTTGCACAGATTATTTTTCTAAGGATCTTGTTTTGGCATTGGTTTAATTTCTTCAGTAGATGTTGAGGTATCGTTGTCCAGGCAGGTGGAACGCTGGAAATAGGTGATACCTCGGAATTTTGCGCGAAGCGCCACTTACTGATTCATCGAATTCGTGATTACATAAATTGGTTAGCCATAATTTGGTTAAAGCAAGCAAAATATAAAGAGAAGACAGGTGAGGTCCAGGCAGGTGAGGTCACATTTCTAATAAGTGGTAAATTATATAAGCCTATGAATTGTTCTGAAAGAGTGGTGGATAAAAATCTACTAAATTGAATTTATTAAACAAAGAATCACAATTAATAAACTACCACTTGAAAATATTTAATCGCTGTCCGGAGCAAGTTGGCATCTTTGTGTATATAAATAAAACTATTTTTGGGTGTTCTGTATTGCATTACTTTCTTCAAACCATTTTAGTAACGATAATAATATAAAAAAAGGAAAAATTTGCTAGAACTATGTGTTTCTAATAATCTTGGCTTCGCCTGTCACCGGTCACCCCNGGCCTCTGCCAAAAATTTTTGCCCCAGGGCCCCGAGGGGTGAAGTTACGGCACTGTTGGTATCTCTGCATTATTTAAGAAACATTTATTAGATGCAGCATTTATTAGTCATATGATGGTATGTTTACGCTCTTACATTACAATAATTACAATTAATTTAATTACAATAATTAAAAATATCTTTTTGCATGTGATTACTATTTAACTTTGATTTTACCACTACTGGAGAAATTTATCTTTCTTTAGACTAGAAGTTGACAGGCATTATCCTACAGCTAAATTAAAATTTCTCACTAAGAGTTCTTGTTAAGAACAGAAATAAGATAAATAAACAAACCTGTTATCCAAAATTGATGAGAGAGGATTTTTAAGGGTTAGTTAATATTAATTTTTATACAAATCATTTGGATTTGAAGCTAGTCTCCTGCCGTTTTGCGGCAGGTGAAAAATGAAAGTAAGGTGTTCAGTGTAAAAATAGAATTACGTAAAATTAAAGTTCCTTTCCTATTTTTCTCTCATTTTATCAATAATTCCTTGAGCAGGATATTTCAAATCTATCTATCTATCTATCTATCTATCTATCTATCTATCTATCTATCTATCTATCTATCTATCTATATATCTATCTATCTATCTATCTATCTATCTATCTNTATATATATATATATATATACACACACATTGATTAACTGCTGATTGTGGTGAACAAAAAGCATTTTCGCTATGGGCCAGAGAAGATTATGGCTCCACAATTTCCTCACGATTTTATTTTTATTTCGTAACTGGCGTTGAACAGCTGATCCCATTCTGTGTTTTCGAATACTCAATTTAGATGCGTTGTAATTTTGAACACAATCCAGAAGGCAAGATACTCCTGGATCAAGCATAGGACCAACTTGCTTTAGTGGAGGACATTTTGATGGAACTAATCTGTATTTACGTTACCTAAAAAGAAAAACCATGAAAATCTCCCACGGTAAATCAGACGGCAAGATGACTCTAACCCATGATTCGTCTACTATTGGGGGTATTTTATGTCAGTAATGTGATCGGAGTGAGCCGGGAAAAGTATTCGTATCAAGCAGTTACTGCTGGGTTTCGAACCTGGGTCACTTCTTCCTGACCGTTGGCATTGTGGCATTTGAATCAAGGTGCTTTTTTCCCTCATTCAAGCTGGTATCTATCGTTTTAAAGCAGGGTGTCCTATAGACCGACATCCGGGATCGAGTTATAGTTTTTTCCAATGACAGTTTAGTGCCTTAACCACTGAGCTATCGTGGCTCATTATGGTGAGCAATAATGTATTAAAATTACTTTTTACTTTACATTTTAATTTGAAAATTTATTTTTAGTATGTAATAAAATGTCTTATTTAGTGGCAGTAATGCGCTACAAGGAAGAAAAGTATGATTAGATTGGATAATTTTTCATTTTAGCTATATGTGTTGTCTCTTAATGAGCCAGTCTTTTATCCTGCCTCATGGAAATATTTTCTCTTTTAAAATTAGGTATTGGTAAAATGACCGCTATGGATATGGCAAGAAGAAACGCTCGTGTGCTGCTCGCTTGTAGAAATGTTGAAAAAGCTAATAAAGTGGCCGAAGAGATAAAAAAGACCACTGGAAATCAGAACGTGTTTGTCAAGGTTTTAGATTTGACTTCTTTTGCATCTGTAAGAGCATGTGCAAAAAGTGTATTGGAAACTGAAGAAAAATTACACGTTTTAATCAATAATGCCGGCATAGCAGGTAGGTTATTAATTTTAATTTTATAAACTTTGTTTATAACACTTTTGCATGTTCTAATTTTTTTCTTTTTTTATTAACAAGTTTGTTCAGAATTTTATATATTTAGTACTTATTTGCATACTAGTATAGTATTTTATATTATAGAGTAATATTTACGTACGAATTATAGCTGTTATTTTATCATAAAATAGTTGAGCTATTAATTAATTTTAATTAGCTCAGATGATTCAGCTACCAAAGTGGAGGATTCATCCACTCTGCAGTGGATTAAAATTGGGATGGCATGTCTTCAGATAATTCTCAGGAATGCTTCCCCGACAGCCAGACTACCAAAGTGGAGGAGAGATCCCCTTTGCAGAGGATTAAAATTGGGATGGCATGTCTTCAGATCATCCTCAGGAATGCTTCGAAGACCGTCAGACTACTAAAGTGGAGAAGAGATCCCCTCTGCAGAGGAACAAAATTGTGATGGCATGTCTTCAGATCATCCTCAGGAATGCTTCCCAGACAGTCGGGATAGCAAAGTGGGGGAGTCATCCAGAGGATCAAAATTGGGATGGCATGTCTTCAGATCCTCCTCAGGAATGCTTCACAAACTGTCGTCGATAGCCCATTGTTCAGCTTTAGTGTGACGAGACGAAAATAAAGTACCTACCTACATACTTGCTTATATAATTTTCCCCATGGTGGTAATTTCTGCTTTTAACGGTGAAGAATCAGTTAAAATTAGAATTTTTATTAGGTTCGTAGCTCCAAATGATATCGAGTGCACCAGTTAGTCAGATTGACCACAAATTTCACTAAGCGATAAATTTTGCATGCCAAGAACAATTTAAACTTGCGTAGTCACAAAGTATGAAGCTCTAGCAGAGACTTTTGAGGGCGAAATTGCAAGATTCTACCCTCATGGATACCGCAGTTTGTTAAGAACGTAATTAAAGATTCTCATTTTGTTAAATAATAATAATGTTCAAAGTTTTAAAGATAAAGATGCGACTATGTACATGCAATTATAACGTTGGATTATTATAACCTTTGATTGTGTAAGAGCTTTTAGATTGCAAATCTAAAATCATTTGTTTCAATTTATTTTTTGAATTAAATAAATACTTTTGATAGGTTTGAAATATAGAATAAAAAAACATTTGTTTTTCATTTTTAAAGGATTAAAAAATCGAAAGCTGACAGAAGATGGTTGCGAAAACACGATGCAGTCTAATCATTTGGGACACTTTCTTTTGACGCTTTTACTTTTAGGTAAGAACATTTTCTCTTCTTTTCTTTCAATTCATGCTTTAGGCAGGGCTGCCAACCATCTACTCTCGTTGTAAAAATTTATTCCAGTGGTATTGAAGTTTATGTTGCAATGTGTTATTTTTTATTCATTCAAACTTTATTTCCACATTACTACATGTAAATGATTTAAAAGTTCATATCATATGCAACGTCACTTGGATGCAGCCCCCTGGTCAAGCGGTGTCACCCACCAAACGCTGTGCAAAGCGTGGAGTTAGCGGGCTGGAACATCGCCGTTACCCTGGATGTATATTTGGCAGTTGGCACCTAAGTCGGTAGCCCTGCATGTAATTTAAAAAAAACATTGCTCACCAAACCAACAGTCAGTGGTCGGATGTAGCGCATTAAAAGTAGTGGAACTACTGTAGTCTCTACTTTTTTAATAGTTTGTAGAGTAATGTGCTACTTTATTTTTTAAAAAAGTAGTGTAGTAAGTTGTGCAATACAAAAAAAACCCCAATAGTATGTAGCTATTCTGGGCAACTACTTTTAACATTAATTGAGAAAAGAGACACGGTTCTAACGCAGCTAATTTTTTGAATTTGATGGGCAAAAATCTTCGCGGGTATGGATACAATAAAAATGATCCTGTGGCTGCAGCTGAGCGTTAGCAGAAATTAAATTACATCATGTATAACTATTTAAACTGGCCATTACGAAAAATAGATAATTAGTACCTTTGAACACACTTTCACATGCAAATGCACACTTGTGAAACATTGATGTTATTTCAAAGGAAGGGAACACATACCTGCCAACTTTTAATCCCTTCCATTATGATTTTTCCCAGTGGTATTAAAATGGAATAAAAATTTCAATTTTAAGCAAAAAAATACGTTGTATTTGAAAAAGCTTAAGCTGCTTATCATGATGGTAACGCATATTAATATATATGCTTAATTCTTTTAGGAATAGTGGTGATGAAAATCCTTTAAAAATTTAGTTTGTAAAAGAAAATATAGTATATATTTACTACCACTTTAAATATAAAAATAAAATTTTACGCCAAATGCGTAAAAGTTGGCAGGTATGGGAACATATTTCCGATATTCTGAATTTCTTAGAGGATTTAAAAGAGCATTAAACAATTGAAAAATTGTAAGTATTTGATAATTTCGCTCTTCTTGAATTAAATATTCGCTGTCGTAAAAGACGTAAAAAGTTGAATGTTAAATGAGCAAATTCGAAAAAAATGTTTTGGAATTACAAACCGGCTCATGTATACATGAATAAATGTTTCTGAATTATTTCCTTTCTTTTAATGTAAATCAATTTCTTATTCATAACAATTTTGAACATGGATGTAAATTAATTTCTCCAGCAAAGTTCATTATTACATTTTAAAAGTAGTTTACAGTCACTACATTTAAAAAAAGTAGTTGCAATTAATTACATTTGTAACAAAGTAGTTGCAAACTGCGAAAATAATGTTGTTTTTCCAATCAATGCTAACAGTAATAGACTGTTGACAGTAACAGTCAAGATTGTACTGTGGTAATTGAGTTGAACATATGTATGTTAACGTGCTGGATGTTATGTGAACGTGATAAATCTTTTTTAGTGTTAAATCTCTGCATTAGCGAACAGGCATTTTATACAAGTTTTAGTCATGAAACCAATTGCTCAATTGAGATAACTGGGATTCTTATAAATGGCGGCTTTCTGTTGCCCTTATTATAAGGAATGAATGTTCGAGAAAACTTAATATGTTTAAACCTTAAAAAAAGGTGCTAAGAACTTTCAACAGAGAAATATATTTTGACTTAGTGTAGAAATATAAATAACATAGACTATGGTGCTTAAACCATGAATTTCAAACTTAGCAGTTTGGCGCAGATGGGACACCGGTATCTTTTTTATATATTTTTTTCTGCCGATCTAATTACAAGCAAAAACAAATTTTAGTATTTTTTAATATGTAATAAAAAACAGTCTACTAATCACTAAAAAAATCTGTTCCATTCTCGGAATTATAATTGTACTAAAATATAAAATCCAAAAAAAAGTAATGTGATAATTTGTTTCCACTCATATTTAAAAATGTATCAATTGTTATAGCAAATTAAAGAAATTTCAATACTGAATAACTGTTTCTCTTAGATCTAAATAATTACAAATAAGTGCAAATTTGAAAAATTATTGTGTGGAAGTGAGCCGTATTTGGAAGATTTTACTTTTAACGAGAAAAAGATAGCGGCGTTTCACGTTGCATTTCATAATAATAAATTATTAAAATACTAAATATATTTCCCCTTATTTTTACCTAAATTAACATAAAACAATGAAGAAAAAAAATGAAAAATATGCTTAATAAAATTTTCGCTTCAAAGAGTTAATTGGAGATGCACGATAGACTCAACTTCAGATTATCTTAATGACAAAGGTTTTTATTCTTTGATTTAGCACTTCATCAGGCATGGGAAGTATATTTCCCACCAATTTTATTAAATATTAAATCACGATGGGAAGTTATTTTTCCACCTAGGATTTGTGTGGCCATCTACTGACAGCTGCAGAAAATACACAAAAAAAACAAACCAAAGAGTGTTTATATAAATGTAGGTTAGAGTAAAGGTTTGCGAGGGGTCAAGAGAAAAGCCAAACACTGGACAGCTATTTTCTCGTGTGCACTATGCGTTTTCTCATTTGGTCGTTTCTCATCGAGTTTATTTGTAGTTATAAACTCAGAATTTGTAAAAACGGTAATCGAAAAGCACATAAGTTCAAGTTAATGACTAATTCTTTACAGTTAGTATAACGCTTAAAATACCACTCACCTTCCCACAAAAAAAGAAAAAAAAAGGAATGCTCTTAAAATCAAATTAGTTTCAGATAATTAGCTAAATGAATTTCATTTTATAAATCAAACTCAGTCACGAAAATATTTTACATATTCCAAAAATATTTTATACTGAAAACAATGGCTCTGCATGGGGTTAATTCAATTTTTCCTTTGGCATTCTATTTTTTTTAAGTGCGAAGTGAGAAATAGCTGAATATGGCTTTTCTACTAGAAATAAAATTAACTCTAAAAGCTAAAATAGTTTAAATTTTAATTGTTGAACCGTGATGGCTCTGGGTATAGAGCGTTCGTTTTCCAATGAGGTGAACCGGATTCGAAACCCAGCCATGGCTGGCCGATACGAATTCCGCATTCAGCTTGTACCGACCACAGTGCTGATGTAAAATACACTTAGAGCCCCCCTTGCAGTCAGACTAAGCGTGGGAGGTTTTTGAAGTTTTCCTCTCCATGTAACGCAATTGCGGGTTAGTAACATCAAAAAAACCTCCATGAAGGCAATATTCTCCCAATGATTGATCCAGGAGTTTCCTTGTATTCTGGATTGGGCTTAAAATTACAAGACTACGGAATTGAGCATTAGTGGTAGTAAACCCAAAAAATCGGGTCGGCTGTTCAACGGCGGTATATAACGGCGGTCATTGGTAACTAAACTAAAATTATTACTGTTCTACATGATATTGTTGTGAGTATACTGGTTGTAAAGATTTTTTTACAGTTTTTTTTTTCAAGATTAATTTGTTTCAATCGAATAAACTAAAAGAGTGACAATTAATACTTTTCTGCAGATTTGCTGAAGCGTAGTTCACCCAGCAGAATAATCAACGTGTCTTCTGAAGCCCATCGTTACCAGAGGTTAGACATCGAAGACCTGAGCAACAAAAAAGGATTGAATTCGATTTATGTTTATGGAAACACTAAGTTGGCAAACGTCTTATTTACTGCTGAATTGGCTGATAGACTTCAAGGATCAGGTTAGTATAATTAAAACTCTCTCATGCACTCCTAGTATTTAAATCTATAACAGAATTCACACTGGCCTTAAAATTTAAAAACAAAAATGGTAACAATAGAAAAACGAAATTCAATTATTTAATACCTTTTTTACCACTACGAGCACTACTATATGTTATTTTTCAAGTAAAATACAGTGAAACCTCCCGGAAAGACCACCTCTATGTAGCGACCACCTCTGTGTAGCGACCACCTCTATTTACGACCACTTTTGAGAGGAGCAGAATTTTTCCCATAGACTTTATGTTGAAGAAAACCTTTAGGATAGATCATTACTCCCAGCGACCAGGCAAGCAACTGCACCGAACGTGGAAGAAGTCAATTAAAGAAGCACAAAATATATATAAAACAAATAAGTAGATTAAAATACATTCAAATTATTTGTGAGACGCTCTTATTTAGAGAGCTCCTTTTGAGCATACAACCTCATGTTGTAGTCAGAGTGCAGTAAAGACGATGATTTACTTATAGGTTATAGGTTATAAACGTTAAATTAGAGAAAAAAAGTTTTTTTTTAGAAAAAGCAAGCATCTCAAACAAACCTCCTCTCTTCTTTTAAAACTAACAAATTTTTATGATATGAAATTAAATGCAAACTTAAACAAAAAACATAATTCCTTTTTTTTAAAAATAGCTTAATCATTCATAATTGTTTTTGCACATATTCTTATCAGTTGGAACAATTGTTATAGAGGCTAAATTTTATTCATCTATCCGTCTTTTCAGGGACGCCAACTAAAGTAGAATTTCCGCATAAAAAAAATGACACTGGCTAAAATTAAAATCACGTTCTTTCGATAACAATTTTGAAGTCAGTGGAGGTAACCTCTAAGAACGGCCAACCTCTATGTACGACCATTTTACTGTGGAATGGAGAGTGGTCGTTCCCGAGAGGTTCACCGTACATGGCTGATTCTCCAAAAAGGAGGACTCCAAAACAGAAGTGGACGTTTTCAAATCACAAATTCTGAAAGTAATTTAGAAAGTTTCTTTGAAAAAAAGAACTATGCTTACGCCTTATAAAATTTCGGAACATCATATATGTAGGATTCAATAATTTTTATTCGAGGGCAAATTTATTAAAATCCATTGTGAAATATCCTTAAATTGAAGAAAATTATTTAGACTTAATACTTTTTTTAAAAAATTTTTAGAATTTTTTTTTTTAGCTGTCGACTGATAAACCAGACCATTTGCTATCTCGTTATCAAAATTTGGAGGTCGGTTTACTCAGTGGGTCGATTTATGCACTGAGATATACTGTATTTCAATAAATGTTTATATGGAATTCATGTTTCTACCAGTAATTATTCCTTTCTTTAAAGATATATTCAATAATGTATCAGCTCTACATTAGCCTTTCACCTTTCAGTTGCGCTTCGGCGATTTATTATTTATTTCCACCCAGATGAATTAGTTGGAGCCCCTAGCGGGGCTGATGCTAAGATAACCAACACATATGAGTATGACTACATTAGCCATTAAATAAATTCGGTAAAAATGTAAGTGCTTTTAAAGCAATTACAGAGATGCCAACTTGCTCCGGACAGCAAATATATATTTTGACGTGGTAGTTTATCAATTCTGATTCCTGGTTTAATAAATTCAATTTAGTAGATTTTTATCCACCACTATAACTAAATAATCCGTAGGCTTATAAAATTCACCGCGTTAACTTCAGCGAATCTTCTATAAGTCAAGTACTTATGTCACGCTATACCTTTAAAAAAGCAAGCAAAAATAGTCAAACATTTGCAAAATTTACCCTGTAGCTATTTACCGTTTTAATTATTTAGAAGTGTCCAGAGCAGTTGGCATCTCTGCAATTGTATCATTATTAAAAGTGATTGTTTGATATTAAGCAAAGATTTTTTATCTTGTAATTCTTTATTGACAGTTAATTCATTGCAGGAGTGACAGTTAATTCATTGCATCCCGGTGTGGTGAACTCGGATTTCTTGACTCCACTTGATGGTTTATATTCAATTTTAATGAGAATATTGTTTTTTGTGGTTGGCAAAGTAAATAACAATTTTTATTGCTTACTGTGAATTTACGTGCGTAATTTTTATTTCTTATTGTGAATTTGCGTACTTAATGTGCGCATTTTTAATTGCTTGTTGTGAATTCACGTACTTTATATGTGCGAGTTTCATTGATTATTATGAATTTACGTACTTAATGTGGGCAATTTCTATAACTTTTCATAAATTTACGTACTATATACGTGCAATTTTTATTGCTTATAGCTAATTTGATATTTGGACTCAGATTTTATAATTTTTTTTTTACATTATCGTGATTACTGCGTTTTAGTTTAATTTTCTAGTCTAAAAAAGAGATCACATCGTGGCTTGAAAATGGTATTCGATTTACATCTAAAAGTAAAAAAATATTACAGTTTTTGCTTTCTCTTTGTTTTAAAAATAACACATTCAGGGCTTCCAACTTTCTACGTTTTTCGGGAAAATTTCTTTCTGTAGTTGGAAAGATTTAATTTTTTCGTATGGTTCTCTGTTTAGTAATACTTATTTAAAGTTAGTATCCTCGCCACTACCAGGGTTGCCAACTACTTCGTTTTTTGCAAAATAGTTTTAGAATGGTAAACAATTAAAAACTAAAGCTTTTATAAAACAAGGAGTCATACATTGAAATATAAACTTAACTTAGCTATCATTCGTAGAAATTTGCCCCCCAAAGCGTAAAAAGTTCGCAGCTCTGTATTACATGTGAATGATTCAAAAGTTCATATGGAATGATACTTTGTTCAAGTTGCAAGGCGTAGCAAATTTTTTAAAATCATGGCTAAACTACTCAAAATTCTGAAGCCTTTGGCTTTTGATTTTGTACAAGCCTGCCAACTACTACGCTTTTTGAAAAAATATTTCATGGAGTGGTAGACATTTAAAAGCCAAAGCCATACCTGCCAACTTTTACGCATTTGGCGTAAAATTTTATTTCTATATTTAAAGTGGTAGTAAAATGTATACTTTCTATATATTTCTTGCATTTATAAACTTAATTTACAATCTTTTTGACCACCACTATTTTTAAAAAAATTAAGCATATATATCAATATGCAATGCTGTTGCTCTAGTCCGCACAAACGTTTTCAAAATACAGCGTATTCTTCTGCCTAAAATTGTATTTAAGTTTCATTTTACTACCACTGGGGAAAATAATCCTCGAAGGAATTAAAAGCTGTCAAGTATGCCAAAACTTTCAGAATTTTTTGGTAATTTTGCATACCCTCCAACTGCTACGGAATTTCCGTTGTTTCAGAAATCTTCTTTTCAGACGGTAGCAAAATTAATGTCTTAATATTTTAAAAAAATTAATTTTAGCGTAGCTTGTCCACTATTACTTATAAAAGTGCAGGCCATATGGCTAGATTCTTAAGTTCTGATAAAAGTCTTATCAGAGATCCATTTGCTTTAAAAATTTCTACTTTGGTTCGCTACCACTAGAAAGAATTATTTTCAAAATCCTCATAAGTTGGAGGGTATGATTTTGCCAACATTTTAAAAGCGCATGAACTTTTATATCATTTATATATAGTGGTGTGGAGAATAAGTTTAAATGAATGAAATAGTCCATACCTGCCAACTTTTACGCATTTGGCGTAAAATTTAATTTCTATATTTAAAGTGGTAGTGAAATGTATGCTTTCTATTTTTTCCTTACATTTATAAACTTAATTTAAAATCTTTTTGACCACCACTATTTTCACAAAAAATTAAACATATATATTAATATGTAATAGCTTTTGTAAAATACACCATATGTGTCTGCCAAAAATTGTAATTTAAATTCTATTTTACTGCCACTGGGGAAAATCATCCTCAAATGGACTATAAGTTGACAGGTATGTAATACATTAAAACAAAAACTTAGCTACCACAGGAATAAATTTTTAAAAAAAGCGTAGAAAGTTGTCAGCCGTGTTTGTATAAAGTGCAGTATTTAGCAGACCAGCACTTAGAGCAGTTTCAGAACTAAACTTAATCACTTAAACCAATGATTCCTAATTTCTTTTCGGCTAGGAAACACTAAATGATCGAGGTTGTTTCGACGGAACTGTGATTTTATAAATAAAGTTTTATTAGCTTCTGTAAACATACTGACCAAAAAAAGACTAAAAAGGAATATTGATGTATATATAATATGAATTATCAAAATTTTTGTTGCTTTCTGAATAACAATCTTAGAATTATTGTAAATGTCAGGCCGTGGAATATGCTGCTCTGGAGCGCCTACAAGTTCAAAATATACTTTTGTGTACGCATAAATTGAAATTAAATAAACTAAGCTGAATTATGGTTTTCTGAAAAGGGCTGCTATGAACAATCAGAACGGTTACCTGTGAAGTTGAATTCCTTATTCTTGAAATTAGTTTTCTTTTGAATTGAAAAGTTTGATGATAAACGCCTCATTTGAAAATGCGCATCCCTTTCGCGATTTATTTAATAAATAGTTGTTGGAAAATATGTATATATTTTTAAATTTTGCTATATATTTTCCTTGGCATTTCCATTAAATAATTTCATAAAAGTAACCGAAATATTGAATAAATTATGGGTTACTAGTTGGATACAAATATAGTTACTTGTTTCAAAAATCATTGCTGGTTAAAAAAAGGCCAAATTCTCGGAACTCCTCTTAAATTTCTACAGACCCCTAGGGTTCCGCAGAAACCCATCGGCAAACCTCTAAGACTTAAACAGGGCGGCCAACAAACTTGGCAATGTTGCAAACATTGCCAACTACTACACCTTTTGCAAAATATTTCATAGAGGGATAACATTTAAAAACCATAGCTTAGAGAAATTTTGGTAATTTTGACAAAAATTTAAAAGCTAGACTGCGAGTTGTTGTTGTTGTTACTTTACGTCGCACAAGAGCTGCACAATGGGCTATTGGCGACGGTCTGGGAAACATCCCGGAGGATGATCCGAAGACATGCCATCACAATTTTGATCCATCCTCTGCGGAAGGGATGGCACCCCCGCTTCGGTAGCCCGACGACCTGCGCGCGAAGTCGAGCACTTTACGGTAGCACAGTTTAACGAGGACCAATACCGCACACCCTCGGTCCCTACGCAGACTGATCCAAGTGGTCACCCACCCGCACACTGACCGTAGCCAGTGATGCTTGACTTCGGTGATCTGCTGGGAACCGTGTCTTAACGATCAGTTCACTGCGGGACGCTAGACCGCGACAGAGCTGGAACAAAGTGGAGTTGCATATGAACTTTTAAGTCATTTATATGTAATGGTGTGCAAAAAAAGTTTAAATACACAAAAAATGAATTTAAAACTTAAATTTAGCTACCGCCCGAGCGGTATCGCCTGCCAAGCGCAGTGTGAAGCGTGGAAGTGGTGGGTTCGAATCCCGCAGTAACCCTGTATTCTTCGTGATGTCCTTCTCTAAATTGTTCTATATGTCCTTCTACTTGACAAAAGCTTATAAGCCTAAATTGAGCAAACAAGCCTGCAAATGTATGTAATTTCAATAAACAGTAAAGTTCCGGGACTTAAAATTTGAGCAAAAATAATACCTGTGTTCTAAAACTCTTAATATAAAATTACAATGTTTTTTTTACTTAAAGATTAGAGTGAAAAAAGTTTTGATTACTGCGTATTTCTTTATTCGTTTTCGTGTCGGTTAGAGGTTGAGTATTGTAATAAAAATTTCGAACTCTCTCCAAGCATTCAAACCTCTACTGCACATTTACATGCCTTATGAAAATGCAAGTTCCAATCTTTTCTGTTATATTACTAATTTACCGCCATTTTATCGCCAAATCGAATTTATCGTCGATCAAAATTCTGATAACTTAGTGTGCACAAATCGTATTAAGAACACCGTAACGATTTCAGCAATCGATTTATCAATCATTGATTCATCATCAATTCATCAATCGAGTTCATCAATCAACGATTTCTCAATCAAAATTCTGAGCACCGTGCACGACGCCTTAACGATTCATATAAAAACCTATACCGCTTCATGCAGAATGTATAGTCACAGAGAATTTATAGTTAATAAAACTTACGAACTTACGAGTTTATAAAACTACCCTACGAGCACTCAAATCCCAAGTGAATCTCTGTGTCTGAGTGCAATGCCAGTTTTAATAATTTTCCGATCTCTCAACAAGAAGAACTTATTGCGATGCTACAATTAACCTAACTCAGAATTCCTAAAGCTTTTCGTCTCGATAGAGCCTTCAAAATTTAATTAGGACTCTGTGAGAAAAAAAAATCGTTTTAAAAAATCATTTGCTTGTTCGTATAGTGCCACGATGCGGGGTTGTCTTTTTTTCGAAAGATATCAGAGTGATTTAGCATTCCCACGAAATATCCCACAAGTTACGTTGCGTCGCAATTACTACAGAACAATCTTGGCTTTCTATAGAAATTCAGCAATACGCAATATTCCGAAAATCTCAATTAATCTTATGTTCCATAACTTCACGGTGAAAAGAATATCTAACGAATAAATTTGTTGAGGGCAGTCAAGGGGATGGGTACGGATTTTGAGAGGGCCCCATACACTATTATCTTATAAAAAAAAAAAGAGTAATAAAATATTAGTTATAAAATGAAATAAAGGTTTGCTTAGCATAAGTTTTGTGTAATTACACTGGGGAAAGACGGAACTTTTTTGTTCCACTTATACGAATATTTGATCTTGCCTTATTCGGTTGTAGGGATTTCAAGTCTGAAAATTGTTTTGATCTAAAAGCCGCAAATTTTTTTAAATGGCGCTTTTAGCATATTTTTTGACGAAATGTTTAAGTTTAAAGAAATGATCCATAACAACGAAGCGTATTACGATATTTCTGGGGTTCCAACGCAATTTTAAATTTGATGACGTGCTTTAACTCCTCTAGAAGTTTGTCGCAACACTGTTATATATAACATTATGCATTGCAACCACTGTTATATATAACATTTTTAAACCTGTGCATTTCAACTGAAAATAGATTAAAAATATCACTGAAAAAATCAGCAGTGTTATGAGCAAAATTATTTTCAGTTTTGAAACTAGCGATACGAAAGTATCTGTTAAAAAGTCTCATGCAAAAGAAAGAAGTAAAAATTGCTCCCCAGTGTTATCATTAAATTTTTATTTATAGTTCTTCTTAATCTCAATTTATATTCTTTTATTTTTCTTTCAAAACGTTTCTAGACATCAGAAGAAGGTGCTCAAACTACAATTCAACTGGCAGTTGATCCTCGGTTGGAAAAGACTACTGGGAAGTATTTCGCTGATTGCAAAAAGAAATCAGTGACACGAGCGGCAAGGAACAAATTACTGGCAAAACGTCTGTTTGAAGTTAGCGAAAAAATCGTTGGAGAATCATTTTGTAAAAAACAATAAAAAGCCATAAAATAAATTTTATAAAGCAGCCTTTAAATTTTATTTAAAAAAAACTTAAATTTTTGTTTAAAAAACCAAAGATACTGCCTTTTCCACTTAGAGAGCAAATTTTGTCTATCGTTAGTAAACTATATGTTAGTATGAACCTCAATTTAGTACATTCGATAAAGTGATTTAACTGATCAGCTGTAACAATTATCTAAATTGTCACTGTTGATATATATACGTAGTACATAAATAACAATTCACAAGCTCATATAAAACGGTTCTTTTCAGAAATGTCAACTGCTCCGGATTCGATAAAATATTATAAGAAATGGTAAGAAAACTGCAAACTAAAATTTGCAGATTTTCAGTTAATTTTTTCACCTTTTTAGAAGGTTCAAAATGGCTTAGTTGTCTTGTCTTGTTTTTGGATCTGGGAGTGGTGAGACGTTTTACCCTTTAAATCATTGTTTCCGCATTACAGAGAAGCTCTTTTTTTTCTTCCAAAAAATAAAAACTGACTACACAATTATTTTATTATTTCATTTATCTAAGAAAGATAAAGAATGCACATCTACCGCGATTTATTTGTAACATAAATCTTCTGATTTGGATCTGTAATCAAGGAATTGTGATTTATTTGAAACTTACGAGGTTGCCAGTGTAAGAAAATACCAATGTGATTTAAGTATTAGCACGTTGAATACTATGGGGGTCACCGGTGAAGCCAAGATAATTAGAAACACATAATTCGAGTAAATTTTTTTAAATATTATTATAGTTACTAAAATGGTTTGAAGAAATTAACACAATATAAAAGACACAAAAATAGTTTTACAAAGGTGCCAACTTGCTCCGGACAGCGAATCAATATTTTCAAGTGGTAGTTTATTAATTGTGATTCTTGGTTTAAAAAATTCAATTTAGTAGATTTTTATTCACCACTATTTCTAAACAATACGTAGGCTTATATAATTCATCACTTTTCACAGATATGTCATGCTAAATCTTGTAAAAACTGGCAAAATCTGTCTAATATTTGCAAATTTAGTTTGTAGTTACTTACCGTGTAAAATTAGCTTGGCATTCAACGTGTTAATGTCACTACTTGCAAATGATTCAAAGACTTATGCGATACGCCACGTTGATACAGCGACAGAGCTGCCAACTTTTTACGCTTTTTGTAAAAACTTATTCTAGCGGTAACCATGTTTATGTTTTAATGTATTATTTTTTTATTCATTTTAGCTTGTTTTCCACACCACTACATATAAATGATTTAAAAGTTCATATGCAATGCCACTTTATTTCAGCTTATATTAGGTGAGGCTTTAAAAATATTGGCAAAATTTCTGAAAGCTTTGGTTTTTAAATCTCTACCACTCTATAAAACATTTTTCAAAAAGCGTAGTAGTTGCAGGCCTGCGTCGAAGCTATGTCAAGCCTTTTAAAAAATTGGCAAAAATAACCGAAAATCTGCAAATTTTAATTTGTAGTTTTATATCGTTTTTTTAAAAAAATATTTTGTCGTATCCGGAGTAGCTGGCCTCTTTCAGTATAACCATCCTGGCAACGCTAATTCAACAAATTTTACAAAACACTAGAATTGTAAAACTAATTTCTTTTAAGCGTTAAGCAACCGCTTTAACACTAGGTTTACGGGACGCGTCATTTTGACGCATTTCGAATTTTATAAGGAAAATTACAAAACCCGCTTTCATTTTTATTTTATCTCTTGTAATGATTTTTATCCATTGATCAAGGTAAATATATATTGAAGTCTACTTTCTTCAAAAGCGTTGAAATAGTGAAATTCTCTTTGTGGTATATCTATCTCTACAGATATGCGTCAATTGGACGTGATCGTAATTTAGACAAAATTTTGAGTAAACATGCAAACATCACATCAATATTAAATAGGAATGCACCGACAATACTTATTTCCGCTATCCGATATCGTTATCTCAAATGAAACAAGCGATAAACAACTGTTGCCGATAAACAATAATAGAGAGAACAAATTGATGTCAGATTTTGAAGGTTTCAGTTCTCCGGAGCAAGTTGGCATCTATGTAAGTGCTGTTATATGTATTCGTTCATGCGTCAAATTGACTCGTGTTCATAGAGATAGGTATATAAGAAACGTCCGTAAACCTAGTGTTAAGCAACAAAGAGCTTAAATATGCTGCTTTACTTATGATGTGCTGTTAAAGGTTCTTGCCAATGTTATCACTTGCTAATGACCTGTCTGACTAAAAGTTTTGATCGAAACTTGTTGTTCCGGAAAAGGTTAAAGTAAATTTATTACCACTATCAGATTTTTTTTTAAAGATCCGTGTGAAACTTTCTCTGGAAAATATTTTCTGCAAAAAGAGTAAAAGTTGGGAGTTTTCCCCTAAGGGAATTGAAAATTTTGAAAAGGAAAACCTTGGAGGCAATTTAGTGAAAAGCCACATTTTTTCCAAAGCTGAAATTTTTTACATCAAACTGTTCAGTAGTATTGTTTCTACATTGGTAATCTACAAGTTTCCAAATTGGTAAGTTACAGTAACATCTTACGCGTGTTTTTTTTTCATAAAGAAAACTGAATTCTGAACAAAGAACTGTAGCTTTTCATTATATTGCCCAAGTGTTTTAATTGCACACTTAAATGTGAAAGAAAATTAAACATACTTAGGAAGAGCGAGAAACGTTTATTAAAAATTTTTACATCAACATACCACAACGTCGCTGACATTGTGCGACGCGAGAACGGAGACTACATTCCATCCAGGAATTTTGCATTTTTTTTCTCCCACTTAGACGATATCATACTACAAATCAGATCTATACAATTCTCCGTCTATACTTAGCTTCACTGAGAATTTGAACATCTCTCGAATACTGACACGTAGATATGTATGAAAATATTAATTTCACTTCTATCATTGATTTTATTTATGCTCTTTATTCAATGAAATTAGAAAACTGTGTGGTATTTAGGAAAAGTAATTCGACATTTGTTTTGTTCATAGGTAATTAAATTTATTATAATGCTTTTTTTTCCATAAATATTTAAACCCTCAATTGGACAGGCACTTGTTTGAGTTAAAAATAGCCTGTTTAGAAAAGCAATTAAAAAAGTTTTTTTTTAATGTTAAAAGTTGCAAAGTTATAGTTGGCTTTCACACGTTTTAGCTGAAGGAAAAACTATTTACATTTAACAATTTTAAATAAAATAGTGGGGAATTTTATATGTAAATTGCTAGATTAATTAAGCTATGACATATATAATTCTTTATATACCTATTATAATTCTTAGCGTTTTATAAATCAATATTTCTCAGGAACTATTCAACCAATTTTACTCATTGAAAGCTTTATTGTATATGAATCATCTAATTTCAAAATTTTGAAAATTATGTGTTAGAAATGTTTTTAAAATCGTCTTAAAATATACATGTTTTGTAAAAATATCAGAAATTTGAAATACATCTACAAATTTTTAAGCAATAACAATAATTTTGAGAATTTTTAAATTGCTTTCTCTCAGGAGCTATTTAAACGATTTATTACGAGTATTGGTCCGGGATAACCTGGTTGGTAGGACGCTGGTCTCCTGTTCGTGAGAACGGGAGTTTGAATCCACCAGCAAAAGAAACCCCGTGCATTAAATGGTGACAGGTGCACGTTAAATCTGTCTGAGTCGCTAAGTCCTCCAAGTTCCCCTAAGAAATCTATACCTCGGGGGTACTGAATTGGAGTTCGAACCATCTCTGATTAAGGTCAAAATTACGATATGTGGATGGATGAATGGGTCAGCTCTGCAAAACGTACTGTGACGTGTGTGTGTGGCTGAAATCATATTCTTGGCCATAGATGGCGCCACCGAAAAACGCTTCCCCCGCCTTAAATTTCTCTTGGTTTGCCAAGCATGCTTGCTGTAAGTAATAGAAATAACAACAAACATTTCAAGTATTATATTAACATGAGAAAGCGAATTTTTAATTTTAGTTATAAGGTTTACTGAGCTAGAGGTGTGCCGATTAGAAAAAAGTTATGATGAAAAATGCAAAAAGTAAATATAACGGAATTTTGAACTTAGATGATTCTTACTGAATTTTACTTAAGAATGATTAATATTTTTCTCTTTAACTTAAATGATACAAAAGTAACTGCGCTGATTGCTACCGGTTATAAAATAATTAATGGTGATAATTTTTTAAGTAAAATNAAACCCCGTGCATTAAATGGTGACTGGTGCACGTTAAATCTGTCTGGGTCTCTAAGTCCTCCAAGTTCCCCAAGAAATCTATACCTCGGGGGTACTGAATTGGAGTTTGAACCATCTCTGATTCAGGTCAAAATTACGATATGTGGATGAATGAATGGGTCCGCTGTGCAAAACGTGCTGTGACGTCTGTGTGGCTGAAATCGTATTCTTGGCCATAGATGACGCCACTGAAATTTCTCTTGGTTTGCCAAGCATGCTTGCTGGAAGCAATAGAAATAACAACAATTATTTCAATTAAATGCATTAATTTATGCATGAATGAATTAATTTATGCATAAGAAAGCGAATTTTGAATTTCAGTTATAAGATTTATTGAACTAGAGGTGTGCCGATTAGAAAAAAGGTATGATGAAAAATGCAAAAAGTAAATATAACGGAATTTTGAACTTAGATGATTCTTACTGAATTTTACTTAAGAATGATTAATATTTTTCTCTTTAACTTAAATGATACAAAAGTAACTGCGCTGATTGCTACCGGTTATAAAATAATTAATGGTGATAATTTTTTAAGTAAAATGCGTACACTATAAAAATTTCTAATAATGTGTATCTCTAAAACACAAAACCGAGAATTACAAAAAACATTATAATTAGGAAAATGACGATAATTGGTCTCAACTATACCATTTATATCTTCATTCTATTCCTTTTTTTCGCTTTAATTTAATTTTTTTTTGTAGTTCAGTATAAGATTTTTTTAAACTATTTTAATCATTTCTTTTATATTGCGCAGAATACAGTTCTGATCAATTATAGTGATTTTGAACATAGCTACCAACTTGTACGGTCGATGTTAAAATATTTTCTTAATATAGCAAGAATGTTTCAGTCTACAAAGCTCGGATTTTAAAATTTCGAAAAAAATATTGGCACGAAAACAAATTAATAATTCTAAATCTTTCCCTTGTCCGTACAAATTGTTCCTATGCAATTTAATAAAAAAAATATATAGAGATGACATTTAACTACGACTTTTTTTTAACTGGTAGAAATCAGCTGCGAGGAAAGCCTCCAATAATCGGATATACAGGGTATTAAGTTTCTAATCGTCTAATTTGTAATGTTGGTCCCAATTACCTGAAAATAAAATGTTTTTGATTTCTGTTTTTTTTAAACAGAGAGAGAGAGAGAGAGAGTTTAATAGTTTTTTTTTAAGTATTTACAATAGAAATTGCATAGTTATAAGGTTGTCATTGCATAGGTCAAAAGTTTTTCAATACTTAGGAGCAATATTATACAATATTTTTGAAATAGAAATGTAATGAAAACGTTTTCCTCTATGATTTATCATATGAAATAAACAAAACATAATTATTTAAAATTTTAAATTGTGTGATCATTTCAAGGAATTAAATGAATATAAACAAGTAAATAAGCGTTAAACAAATAAATACATGTAAATAAATAAGTGTAAATAAATAAATGAATACACACAAATAAATAAATGCAAATCAATAAATGTAAATAAATAAATGTAAATAAATAAATGTTAATAAATAAATGTAAATAAATATAATTACCTTAAAAGAAATTTTCTTTAATGCTGCTGAAAATTTGCTTTTACATTAGAAACCAGTGCAAAAATGAATTTAGTTGTAAATTATAATATATTCTTCAGTTTAATGTATATTTTTTATTACACATGTGAATAAATAAGTAAATGTAAATAAAAAAATAAGTGTAAATAAATAAATGAATGTATGTAAAGAAATGTAAATAAATAGATGTAAATAAATAAATAAATAGATGTAAATATAAATAAATACATGTAAATAAATAAATGTAATTACCTAAAAATAAATTTTCTTTAATACTGCAGAAAATTTGCTTCCACTTTAGAAGCTAGTACAAAAATGAATTTAGTTGTAAATTGCAATGTATTCTATTGTTTAATGCATATGTTTTTGTTAAAAATATTGTATAGTATTAATATTTCATAGTTTGAAACTGAAAAAAAATTAAAGAATCAATTTAGTCTTATAATTTACATAATTTTGTTTACTATTAAATTTATAATAGCATTTCAACTAAAAAAGATTAAAAAGAATATTTATTTAGCTTTTAAAAGGCACTGCTAGGGAACTTGAGTATTGATTTAAAATATATCGAAAAAAGCTTACAGATTGAAGGCAAATTTAAAAAAAATCAGAACTTCTTCATTTTTCCTAAAAGTTTTTGGAGACACTAGGAGTTTCGAGACATCCTTTCTTCTCTTCCTCTTTGGCTTAAAATGCGCCTTAATAACTTAATATATTCGAAGGATTATAAACTGGAAAATGTCAATATTCAAATTTTGAATAATTGCGCTACACTTATTAGAGCAATGAGTGAACCCAGTATTCTTTTAAAAAGAGTTTCATTCCGAACAAATTTTCTAAATCGGTCAGACTCATAGCAATTCTTCATCGATTAACTTATAATTCGACCTGTTTACATAAATAATTAAATTTTTTACAGAAAGTTGGCAGATTTAATTCATTTTATAGAATAGTTATAATATTATTATAAATTGTTACTTTTTTTTGTTTAAAATTGTCATTTGTTATAAACAATGTTCTATCATATTTAAAATTTTCTTTTTTTTTCTTTGAAAAAAAATTATGCAAAATCAAAAAAAATTTTCAAAAATTGATGGATGTCATTTTGCTTAAGTAGGTAAAAAATTAAAAAGCGGTCTTGCCTGGGTTCATACGGTTCTTAAAAATTAAAGACTGGTGTTATTATATACTGGTGTTATATTCTGATAAAAAAGCTGCGAATTTCTTTTCATTAGCTTTCCTTTTTAAATCCAAAATCAGATTTCAAGACTAGTTATGATCATTTGGAATTATTAAGCGTTGTGTTGAACATGAACTTTATAAATGCATCTTACTTTCCTAATATTTCTTTCACTCTTTGAATTTTTTTAAGGATCATATGAACCCATAGGTGTTGCAAATTTATAATTATTAGTTTGCATTTCTGGATTTAAATTTAGAAGCCTCAATGTTTGCTTTGTGTTTTTTCACATCGAATAATTATAACTTTGCGTTGGTGATAAAAATTCTTAAATAGTTTTAGTCCTTCAGGTTTGTTACCACTTTTTAAATTTTTTTAAGCACCATACAAATCTTAATTAAAAACTAATTTTTGAATATATGTTGAATATTAATTGAAATAACGTTAGTAAATTACTTTGCTAGTTCAAGGTAGAGAAAATTTAAGGTTACTAACTATTAAAAAATTTTGTTCTTGGCAAAAATTAAATTTTTTTCAAAAAATAAGTCTTAAGCAGTCCTTACTTTGCTTGAACGAAATATTTTAGAAAAACTCTTACAGTAGCTTTTATGTAGCACAGCAAGTTCTAGTATTAACTTCTTTTAAATTTATTATATTTTGTTTTGCACCTATAGTGTAAATTTGTATAAAGACACGCATTAAGGACAATTTTTACAAATTCACCCAAAAAATGATATTTATCATTTTTTAAAAATATATCATCGAAACATTTTAGAATAATTTCTGGTCCATAAATGTGTATAAATAACATCTATTAAAAAGATGCTAATGATATGACTTTTTTCCCCTTAACAAGCCTATTAATAGCTAAAATGGTAATTAAGCTTGATATGGATTTTTCATTTTGTGTCTTATCAGGCCATAAAAATGGCCTTTATTTTATGGCCGTACCTGCTGCGACGCCAAGACCTACTTTAACTAATATAAACGAGTGTTGTCTCCGTTCTCTCTGACATTAATAGATGGCGAAAAACAGAAGGACAGGTTGGCCAATCAGAAGAATAGGTTGTTCCTCAAAGTAATGGATGGCTCGCAAGAATCAATTATCTTGCCAAATATTCCACGCCACTGATGCCAGTGTAAAGAGTCTTTCGAAATAGGTTTCTTTGCGGTCTCCATAATCCTTTGGGATGTTGATGAATGCCTTGAAATTTCTTTTTTCTTTTTCAGGTCCTTGAAGAGGTGGGATAGGTCCTTGAAGAGGTCCTTGAAGAGGTGGGATATCACAGAAAGAATTGAATCGGAGTTAGAAGGATGACGAAGAATAAGCTCTGGATTGTCCCGCAAACAGTTCTGCGCACGCCATGATAACCAGTAATGAGTCTGTTTGGAAGTGTGCGTCTGTACCACACTGCGAGAGTTCCTGGGAAAGATTTGAACATTTATGTTCCTTTTTTTATGTACAAGGCTCTGTGGTCCCTATGGTGGAAACCTGGAACAACATATGACTGGCTTTAGAAAGAGACATTACACATTTAAAATTCTTATAGTCACCATAATTAAAAACCGTTTATGTAATGGATAAGGTTTAAAAAAAGAATAAGGTATGCTTTATGCGATGTAGACTAAAACAGAAAAAAAAACGTGAATTAATTAACTAATGAAAGTACAGAAATGGACATCCTATAGCTTTGGTTCTTTGCACAAGAACGTTCCCCAGGGTTTAAACATCAAATGATAATGGAGAATTGCTGAGAAAAACGCATCCAAAGTGGTTTAGCCAATAGGAACAGGGGGATAAGATTGGAAGAGATAGTAAAAGAAAGAAGTAAGAAACAGATGTGAGGAGGTTTGGCGAGATCTCCAGGGTGAAAAAGATTAAAATTTCTGTTCTTTCGTTGGTGCTTTATTTATTTATTTGCTTTAGTCGTTTATGTAATATTTAAGAATTTTTTTTAATTTGCATTCCCACTTATCATCTCGCAAGTGCCAGCTTCTTACAAAATGTTTTGTCTTGCATTCACTCCTTGCAATGCCTTTCCCCTCCTCTACCTTTGCTAGTTCAACGGTTTCTTAAGCCATATATCTCTAGATTAAGGTGATCAGACGATCTCAAATCTTGAGGACAGTCCTCAAATTTCATTGATTGTCTTCAAAAACTAATCAACAATTTGAGTCACTGATCAATAATTTCAAACTACACTATTGAAAGCACAGAAATGAACATAGTATAGTTTCGGTTCTATACACAAGAGCCTTCCACTATGTTTAAACACCGAATGATAATAGGGATGTCATAGGGAAGCATAAATCTATTAAAAAAGATTAAAATTAGCAACTTCTTTTAGCATATTTTTTACCCAATAGGTGCTATTTGAAGGTAATTTCAAAGTCATAGTAGTGCTATGAAACTGGGCAACTGCAGCACGAAGTGGCCCCTATCCCGTCCATCATGAATTTGTTTTACAGTTTGTCTTAACACTGTGAGGTCAGCTGTCCGTGTGGCTGTTGCAAGTGATTGCAAACGTTGCAAGTACCGCAGAAACGTTTCACTTTGACTGAGAACTGTTTCATTGAAGTTCATGAAGTGAAGTACCCTATAATGAGGAACTCATCAATCAGGTGATTTGTGAGTTCTGAGATGACGAGTCCTTCACGTTAGCAGACATCTTTTTTCTTTTCTTTGCCGGCTGTTCCTCGTTGCTTTTATGCCGTGATTCGGTTTTGGAGATCATGGCTTTCTTATTCGGCTCGGTTGTTGTTAGCTAATGTTGTAGTCTCTGGTGAAGTCGTAGCTATCTCCATGATTATTTCTTATTCTGAGGGATTTTTCTCACGCTTTGGTTCTGAGGACAGAATTGTTCCAGCAAAATGGTCTTTTAGCTCTCTCAGGAATTTCGAAGTCAAAAAGCCTCCTAATGGTATTTGTAGATCATTCCCAATTAAATCCATATTTATCTTCATAGATGGTGCACCGGGTCTTATATAATCTGGTTTTTCCCAGTTGGGAAACAAGATGGTAAAGAGGGACAATAGTCTCTCTTTATTGGAGTGTAAGCCATCGTCTTTCCACCACGGCCTAACCGTTGTAATGACATGCTAGCTCAGAGTGCAGTTATAAACAAGCTTACTTTGCGAGATTCAAAATCTGAATGCCGGAGAAGGTCCTTGAAGGATAATAGATTCAATGAGGAAAAGAGACTTTAATATGAATACATGTATTCACATTAATGTGAGGTCATGTTCCGAAAAATGTAACATTAGCGTACAAACCATATCCGTTAGATTTTAATCCCTGATTAACAAATTAAAAGTACCCTATAATGAGGGAGAAAAAATAATTTTAAGCATAGAAAAGCGAGTTTAAGTAAACGTACAGTAAAGCATGAAGTTTCCGAAGAAGTAGATTCAAAATATCAAAATGCAAACAAATTAAGGCAAGAGGGGAAGAAATCTTGAAATAATTTGTTCATGTTTTGTTATCTTGAAAACATTTTTATCAGTACTTGAAAATTCATGGTTTGCTTTACATTTACTTAAAATCAATTTTCTTAAAATTGAAATTTTAAAATATCATTATAGAAGAAACAGAATTTGAAATGGAAAGTTCGATTCCACCTCGAATGACACAGGCTTGCACTTATCTGGAAACTATTAAGAAGTGGTAGCAATATAAAGATGAAAAATTATGTATCATTAGTCTTTTCACTACCATCATGTGGGGCTACTTTGTGCAGAATTTCGCAGTTTTTGAACTTTGACATGTAAAAAAACTATGTTAATTCAAACTTTGATAAAATTTATCGATATTATATTCATAACTGGACTAAGACGAGTGAATTTGATCAATATTGGCATTATTTGTATGTAATATTTACAAATAATAAGACAAAACATACCTTACACAAAGTAGCCCCCAAGTGGGGCTACTTTGTGCAGCGATAGGAATTCAGTTTAATAATCATGTTTTTAGTAAAATATTGATATAAAATTGTTAAAAAAGTTAATTGTTGACATTTTTAATAACAAAAACATCAAGATATGTAAAGATATTAGTTTGAAAATAATTTTCAGCGTTAAAAAACCATTTTTTATAAAGAATTTTTTCTTAAAAAGAATGTTTATTTCAAAACATTTGAGTTTAAACAAAAGGAAACCATATACATTTTTGAACATTGAAATGGATGAAATTTCAAAAATAATAATTATTACATATTCATTAACATTTATAATATTGATAAATTTGAACATAACATGCTTGAATGAACATGACAGAACTTGCTCTTCAGTTTCTGTCAAAATCACCTGATGTCCTATAAAATATATTTTTATGTGTTAAATCGTTTGATTAATTCATTAGAAAAATCTTTGTAGAAGAAAAATAATAGTTTACCAGGAAGTTTCACGTGTTTCTTGTGAATTTTATTAGAGATAGTATTTCTGTGGATTTTGTACTTCCGAGAAGCTTCTGCAATCGACATACCACCAGCAACTGCTTGCAAACATTGTTGCAGCTTTTCTAAAGTGTAATCACGGTAGTTTCTCGTTCCAGGTATTTTTTTATAACGTCTGACCATTTTTCTGTCGAAAAAAAAAACGAATGAAACTTTGCACAAAGTAGCCCCAAAGTGCATTTTTTTTCATTTTCCGTTTATTTGTTATTAATTTTCAAATTTTTTTAACGCTAACATGATATAATTGTTTATTAATATATAAATAAAAAATTTTGCACTTACGACAATTGTTTTATCAACGTCTTTGCATTTCACAGCTAAAGTTTCCACGCACACTTTTCGACGTCCGACGTTCTCGGAAAGTTGTTGACATTGGATAAACAAAACACACTCTGAGATTGTTTTAAAATTCGAAAAAATGTTTGTAGTAATAGAGGAGACTTCTATCTTCAAATTCCAAAAATTTTTAACGTGATAAAAACATAATACTGAATAGCAGCACTTGAAAAGTGCCAAATTCGAATTTGCACAAAGTAGCCCCACATGACGGTACCAAAATATTTCAATGACACAAGCCCGAAGAAGGAATCAGACGTTTTGATTTTTAATACTAAAGGGAAATCTAGTTTTAGGAATAGTTTGAATTCTTTGGAACAAAATGGACGTGGTTCTTAGGTTAAGATTATTTAAGAGACTGAAGTTTAATTTACCTGACTTTGTTGTTCCTCTTCCCTCCTCTGTACCGCCATCCAGTAGTCGTAATTGTCTTGAAGATTTTTAGTTTGTTGACAATGGACAACTTTTCTTCTCACTCTCGAAAGTGGCTGCTTCTTTTGTTTACCACCTGCAATGCATTTCTCATAGTACTTTTTATCTTGCGACAAATTCATTTTATGGAAATAAAATTGTTTAGAAATGTGAATTTTACCTATAATTATTTCTTCTACCCGTCTTGGAAGATCTAAATCATCTTCTGATAATTCTTCTGCACCTATAGCAATAAAAAGACAGGAATATCGAGGGTGTTCTTTAATCACCACTCTTAATATACATTTTAAGAATACTTTTAAGTAATTCAATATAAGATAGGGATCGTCCCAATACACAATTAAGCCTAATTTAACTGTGTAGTTAATTTACGGATCCATAGATGGCGGCACTAAAATATTTGTTAATACACAATTTTATCTTCTACCATTTTATCTATTTATCTTTCGCTATTATATACTTGTTCGTTATATTGCGTCATATTCGCACATTTTTAGGCTGCTGCGAATTTTTTTTCTTTGGTGGTAAATTAAAGCAGAATTTTTTGAAACTGAATTTTAAGAAATTTTTTTATTAGAACTCAAGAGCTTAGACATTCTTCCTAATGACCTTATGAATAGTTTGTCTAAAGTAAGAACTCCCCTAGATAGCGCCTGGAACCATGGCGGTGACTATGGTCACGAGGTATAAATATTTCAAGTAGGGGTTTGGGGTCATTGCATACTAGGACAGGTTTTGGCGAGAGAAAGGGAATCTTTTTCTTCGCCCTATTGTGTTAGCTCTAGAGTGAAAAGAAGCTACCCTACCTGAAATGCGCTATTCTTGTTCCCACAGCAGCAGACGACCTTAGACTTTGTGGCGGGAGGAGTTCTTACCGTAGACAAACTGTATATGTCTGTTTAAATTGCTGGTGTTTATTGGAGGACAAAGTTCCAGTTTATTAAAAAATAAATACATTGACTTTACTATCATTACGAAAAATATTTTCGGAAACTTCGGAGTATCCGTAGTAGTCGGATTCTCTTAATTTGTGATGTATATCTGTCTAAATCCTTAATAATTAAAAAGAAACATAATTGTTTATTGATTGGTTACATTTTATTTTTCATAAATTTATTATTTCATTTAATATAAAAGGCATATTTTAAAAAATTATTTTAATAAAAATTTTAGCCTGTTGATTTGTGCCATTAAGTAAGGTAGCAAGCAAGTAAGGAATCAAGTAAGCGAGTAATACCATGATACTTCAAAAATGAACGTTTTTTTACAAGCTACGAAATGACCCCTTTTGGCTGTACAGGTATTTCTATGACTGTTTATTTTAATAATCAACATAAACGCATGAAACTTTAATACAGTATACATAGAAACAGTTTGGGAAAGTAAAAGAAAAAAAGCTTCATAGCTCACACGTATCTTTAAAAACAACATGAAATATAGCAAATAAGTATCAACAATGACCCCAACAGCGCTTCTAGTGCTAATAATATAATCTATAAAATAATGCAATACAGTACAGTACAGTACACTATAATATAAAATAATACAGGAATCGATCAAAATAATGGAAAAACTTATGTACTAACTCTATGGAAACAATTTTTCTCTCAGCATCAAATATTTTAGAAGATTTGGCAAAAGTGTTGGCACAATTTGAAACATTTAAAGCTTTTAGATTAGAAATATCATTTTTACCCATGCAAAGATGGGATTGATTTCCTTTTAACTTTAATACCAACAATATTGAATTTATTTCTTAGGATTGAAATATTTATACAAATATATATATATATATATTTTAATTATTGTGCTATTGAAAAAGATTATCAGTTTTTGAATGCCATATGGGCAACAATAGATAAATCATTCTATAGGATTGCATAGCTGCCAACTTGTACGGTCGTTGAGAAATAATTTTCATTGTGGTAGGGAGCAACATTAGCGTTTTGGCGTATTAAATATTGAAGTTTAAAGTTTCAATTTTTTTTTTAAAAAATTACCGCGACGAATCATTACTTTAAAAGATATGTATCATTAATTTAAAAAATGTAAAATATATGTAAGATCTATTGGTTAGTTATGCTTATAGATGCCTTACTAGTTTTATCTTCAGAAAATTCTTCCCAACTTAATTGTTGTTTTACTGCCACTTTGTGAAATCTTTTTCAAGTTGGCAGGTAAGAGATTACAATATCAATACAAGAATGCTTTTTGGATTATAGTACTGAAGGAAATAAGCTTGATTTTGGTTGATGCAAATTTTGCATGGTTAAAAATGAACCATTTCTAAAATCTTGAAGCGCAGGATCTTTCAAACTGTACCAACAGTTTTGCCATGTAAAATTCCCCAAAACATTTGCTATTAAAAGAAAGATTGTTTCCATCATGGAATAATTTCGAGTAAAAAAGCTTACTTTGATCGTGTGAGAGCCGTACCCATACTCCAGGAAGAAGGGCTGCTTCAGCATAACTACGACATAGAGGAGCTACAAGGTGTCCAATGAAGGATTCCTGAAGTTTGGCCAGTTGCGGCTTCTCACGGTCCATGTACCGAGAAATAGGAAAGCCTAAAGATCTCTCTTCGTCTCCCTGAAAATTCAACAGAGATGAAATAATGTCGATTAGGAATTGAAGGTCCACAACCTTCTTTTTACTTAAAGAAGCTATTTTAATATGTAAAAAACGAAAGAAAAGACAAAATTGAATATCTACTATGAGTTTANTGGACCAATCAGAGGTTAGCGCTGATTTCCAGCTGACGGCGTCCTGTCCTAAGAAACCAGGCCTTGAGATGAAATAATATTAACCAGGAAACTGACCAAAAATATTGAAGGTCCACAACATAATTTTAATTTTTCTTTTTACTTAAAGAAGCTATTTAAATATGTAAAAAACGAAAAAAAAAAAGAAATTTTTTTAAAATTGAATATCTACTATGAGTGTATGGACAGTTAAAACTGTATAAATGGTTCATTATGAATGCTACTGTGAGTGACTGAAATCGGTGGTTGTTGCCTTCCACCGGTGAATGTTGACAATCACATAGTTACTCTGATAAATGTCCGAAATATATACTAGGTTTAGTTAAGTGCCACTGCCCGGTTTGCATTTGCCCGGTATATATTGCATTAGAGTTTTTTTAAGATTCAGTGCCACTGCCAGGTATACATTTACCCGGTATACCTTACACCAATGAGTTTTTGAAGTTAACTGCCACAGTGCGGTATGCATTTAACCGGTACTCTGAACACTGGTGTTTCTCCTAATCTATCCGCAGAAGATATTAAAACAGCGAATAAATATAATAACATTAATGAATACATTAATATCAAATGGGATATAACATATATTTCGTACTTTCACCAAAGTGACCATGTGATTGTTGACATTCATCGGTGAAAGTCAACATTCACTTGATTTCGGTCATTCACTTTAACATGGATGCTGCAATTTTTTGACCAGCAAACAATAAAATAATTGTAAGATGCAAAATTGATTGGTCAATTTAATTTGCATTGCAAGGAGAAATAGTAACTTAAAATCTTAGAATTGCAATAAAAACAGAGCTGAACAAATTTCGTCTAAGATGTCCTACACCATGTTAAACGTGAAAATAACACTGGCGAACAGTTTCTTTTTTGTTTTCTGTAGCACGATGTATTTGAACGGATTTTAAATATTTTCGCGTAGCTGATATAAAATATGAAATCAGTTTTTCTCTGCAAGCTATAGTTCTTATGCATTTTAGTAATATATTCCTAATCAGGATTTTTCGAAATTGAATAAATAGTAAGCATCTCCACCTCACTGCTACGTCGGGAATGGTAGGAAAATGGCGATAATACATTTTAGCTTAAGGTGCGTTAGATTAAGGTCATATGTTTTTTGTATATGAACCTATACGTTCTTTATTAACTAGCGCATTCTAACAAAAAAAAACTAAACTAAAATTGCAATTTAGAAAAACATAAGGCTTAAGCTTTTCAAGCGAAACAATTTCTGAATTTAAATTTTGGATTTCGATCGAGTTTCAGAATTCGAATTTTGGTTTTTGGTTCAGAATCGAACTTTTTTATTTGACCATGATATAGACATTGGACTAATTACTGAAAACCATGTAAATTCTGGAAATAAACTTAGCTTCGTAAAATATAATACCTATAAGACAATTAATTGTATACCTATGTATACAATTCAGAGTAGGCGGACCAGCGATCATTGCAAAGAAATCACTAAATACTATTCTATACAGCACTGATACAGGCGATGGATATGAAGAGACTTCTATACTTTTATATTTAAGTAAGAAAGACTTCCTGAAAATTAGTAGCATATATAATAGATCCACCTACACCATCACTAAAGAACTGCTAAATGCATTGATACCAAATGATATGAACTGTATTATAGGTGGGGATTTTAACTCTAAGAACATCATTTGTGGTTCTCGCGTTGATAATCACTACGGTGTCAAGCTTCATGAAGTAGTTAAGGATATGGACCTTATGGCAATAGCTCCAACTGAACCAACATACTTTCCTGTCAATGGTCAACATCAACCGGACTTACTTGATTTTTTCATAGTTAAACAATAATATCAACTTTGGATGCTACACTGCCACTGAGTTATCTAGTGATTATGTTCCGGGGATTGCTGTCTTACAATTAAATTCCTCAAATATCATAAAAAAGAAAAATATTGATAGGGACCTATTCCATAATATTCTTGCTCTCCAAAAATAATATCAAATACCAGCAAATATTGATGATATTAATAATAATATTGACTGTCTCACTGATGATATCCAAAAACCTCTCGAAGAATCCATTGCAGAAGTACCCACTACCGACAACTACCAAAAATTGCCATATAATATAAAAGAAATGACAGCATATAAAAATCATATTAGAAAATTACGGCAAAAGAATAGGAACCCGGAAGATAAATTAGAACTAAATAGGCTCATAAAGAAAAATAAAATTGTGTGTACGAAATTTAGAAATGAATGCTGGCTTGAGCAAGCCTGAATACAGATGATAGATCAATTTGGAGAATGACCAAATCACTAAAGTTCATAGAAGCACCTAATAAACCAATCATTAATGATGACAACAACGTTTACAGCAATCAAGATAAGCTAAATATTTTTGAAGACACCATAGAAAAGCAGTTTACTTTAAATAAGTTTACAACAAACTCTCAAAATAATATCAATTCTAGTATGGAGTACCATAATTACTTTAAAAATAGCAACAGTCCAGACATGCTTGATAAAGTGACTAAAAATGAGTTAATTCAAAATATTAGAAGACTAAACAACAAGAAAACCCCTGGTGAAGATCACATTAACAGCAAAATAATAAAACATCTTCCGGGAAATAAAATCAATGAAATCATCAATATATGCAATTCTTGCCTGATTAAGAACTGTTTCCCAAACGCTTGGAAAAATACAGTAATAATTCTGTTCCCCAAGCCTGGCAAAGATGCCAGAATGCCTGAAAATTTCAGACCCATCAGCCTTCTCCCAACATTGGGGAAAATATTTGAGAGAATTATACTTAACAGATTAGAATCTTTTTTAAATTTCATACCAAAAGAACAATTTGGCTTTCGTAAAAAAATATTCACAACAAAGCAACTGGTTAGACTTATAGATTTTATAAGTGATGGATTTTATAAGAATGAAACCACAGTATTACTCATTTTAGACGAGGCCAAGGCTTTTGACAGCGTCTGGCATGAGGATTTAATTCGCAAAATGATAAAAAAAAATCTATCATTTGATTTGATAAAAATTCTAGACTCTTACTTAACAAAGAGAGTTTTTCAAATTCGACTAAATCGGGAGCTCTCAGGAAAAAGACTGATTAGAGCTGGAGTACTGCAAGGCAGTATATTAGGCCCAGTTCTTTACCTAATATATACAGGTGACATCCCAATTAACATCAATAAAAATAATTACTTAATAGCTTTTTATGCGGACGACACGGCAATTGCCATGCGTTCCAAATCAGCCCTTCATAAATCTTAATAAACTTATGCCGCCCATATAAAAATGGTGCGTTGATAATAAGGTTGCTATAAATACTGATAAATCCAATTTAATGGTTATTAGAAGAAAAAAGAGACATATAAATATTGATAGTAAAGTTAGCGTCTTCAATAATCAAATTCCAATTACAAGTAAAGCAGATTACCTTGGCCTCTGCATAAATGATAAACTAATATGGAACCTCCATATTGATAAAACTGTAAATAAAGCAAATGCAGCGTATAACTGCATTAGACCGCTACTTAACTCTAACTCAGCACTTCCACTTAGCCTAAAAAGGCTACTGTATCTTCAGTGCATAAGCCTAACCAAATTAAAAAACTAGATATAGTTCTGAATAAAATTCTCCGACGTATTATCGGAGCACCCTTCTACCTACCCAACTCTTCTATTAGAAATGACTTAAAAATAGATAGTATTAGTGAATATATAAGCAAGTTAAATGCGACTTTCTATAAAAACGCACAAAACTCAGACCATGCAGATTTCAACGAAATCCTGGACAAAATGTTTAAATTTTTCCATCACCTAAAGACATCATTACATTTTTATTATGCTAGAATAATTTGTTAGTCCACGTGGCCTGAAAGCGAGACAGAAAAGAGAAAAAAAAAACTGGTAGTAGAACTATTTCAACAAAAGATAATTTTCGAGAGAAGTAAATCTACTCTTAACAATAAACAATTCACTGCTATTAATTTTTTTCTCGGTGAAAAGCAATTGTATTTGTAAATTGTATCCGTTAAAAAATTTGGTTGTTATGAATATTTTATTATTCCNTTAGATAGTATTAGTGAATATATAAGCAAGTTAAATGCGACGTTCTATAAAAACGCACAAATCTCAGACCATGCAGATTTCAATAAAATCCTGGACGAAATGTTTAAATTTTTCCATCACCTAAAGACATCATTAAATTTTTATTATGCTGGAATAATTTGTTAGTCCACGTGGCCTGAAAGCGAGACAGAAAAGAGAAGAAAAAAAAACTGGTAGTAGAACTATTTCAACAAAAGATAATTTTCGAGAGGAGTACATCTACTCTTAACAATAAACAATTCACTGCTATTAATTTTTTTCTCGGTGAAAAGCAATTCTATTTGTAAATTGTATCCGTTAAAAAATTTGGTTGTTATGAATATTTTATTATTCCCACAAAAAAGTTATTTGTTACCAGTTTTTACTCTTTTCCGTCTTGATATATAAGGATTTTCAGCCCTGACGTGATCCATTTAGAGCTGGCGACAAAAAAGCATTAATGTTTCTATCACTGAATCAAATATATTACATAAAGAAAGAAAGCCGGGATAGCCTAGCTGGGAGGTGTTAGAGTACTCGGTACATGTACAAGACATGTACATGTACTCGGTACATGTACATGTTTAGTCGGCTCATGTACAAGAGGTCGGGAGTTAGATCATCGCCAGTCGAAGGTTCCCCGCTTACTAAATGACGGGGGCACGTTAAATCTGTCGGGTTACAAAGTCCTCCAAGTTTCCATAACAAATCAATATCTTTGGGGAAACTGAATCACAGATCGATCATTCTCTGGTTCTGGTCAAAATTACGATCTGTGAATGAATGAACGAACTGTGACGTGTGTGTGGATTAAGACATATTCTTGGCCATAGATAAAGCCACTGAAAAACAAGAAACAATGCCTCTGACTTAAATTCACTTGGTTTTACCAAGCAGGCTTGCTGGTATTTGACAAGTGTCATTAGAAACAACAACACAAAGAAATAAATTTTTGTTCTTTAGAATTTAAAGGATTCAAATCGAGCAAACCCTACTTGTTCATAGAACTCTTCTGCAATTCTATGTGTCCATTGCATATGCAACTGTCGACACTTGCAAGGACCGTTTATGTCTGATAGTTTTATAGCCATTTGCATCACCAGTAATCTATCAGCTTCACTGGCCCAATCGAGAGGAGGGGATTCTTCATCTGACATCTATAAGAAAAAATTATCTTAGCACAATATAAAGATACGACCAGCATTTAGATAAATAATCCCAAGAAGCTGAAGCACTAATATAATTTCTTTTATATAACTGAAAAATATGTAATGCTGATGCATATGCAATGCTTCATTCGCTTCAAAAGTATACAAATGGGAAATAATAGTCGAGATGTTTAAAGCGCTCAAAAATAGGCGCTCATTTTCAAGACTTACCAGAAGTGAATGAGAAGAAACAAAAGTAATTTGAAATATAAAACGTAAAGTTGCCAACGAAAAATGGAAAAAAATAAGGTGAGAAATAAAATTATAAAAATCACAGTAGTCGAGAGAGGAAAAAGATTAAAAACAGAACAAGAAAAACTACAGTGACCGAGAGGAGTTAATCAGATTTTGGAATCTTGTTTTATTCATATGAATGCTGATTCCCTGGTTAACGATATTAGTATCTGTTTCGTCCATTCACTTCTGGCAAGTCTTAAAAATGGGCGTCTATATTGGAGAGCTTGAAATATGTCGACCTATATTATTAGTTTATATATTTTTAATGTGAATTAACTTTTTAATCAAGTAATAAGTTCGTCAATCCATCAGATCTGATAGTTAACGATCATGGTCTCAGTTAAGTTGTTCACACGTACTATCTTAAATAACATTAAAATGAGTTTTCAATTTTAATATAGGTTGATTGATAATCATAATTAAAGTATGCAAAAAGTTAATTGTATCTAGTTGAGAAATTTGATAATCAGTCGTCATTCCACAATTTATAGGATCTTCCTTACAAATTTTACAGTCTACTTTCTTCTTAACTACTCTAGTAATATTTTTTCGAAATTAGCTCGTAATTCTAGATCAATGAAATCATTAAATGATGAGTTTGCCTGCAATGCTATAACATAATTTTTAAATTCAGAGACATTTAACACTAACGTTTAATATCCTATGATATTAACTTTCACATATTTTTTAATTGGAGAGATTTAGCAATATCTTATAACATCTTTCCACAATCACGTATGTATGTTACAAAGTTACTGAGCGCGCGCAGTTTCGAAGAATTCGGAAGAAGATTGTTGCAGTTACTTCAAAACATACGTACGAAACGTGAGTGGATCTGAAATGGTAACGCTAAATCCATAAATACTCATTGGAATTTATTTGGAATAAGAGGAAACAGCCAAATTAAGAACAGATTGTGAGTTTTTGAGTAAATATGTTTGCTTTTCCAATATTTAGTCGATTAGTTACGAAAAAAAAATTTGATACTGCTCTCATTATCATTTAAATGAGGTAGTTGCTATCGAGGCATTATCTCTTTCTGAAATAAGCAGTTGGAAATATGCTTTTGCTCCAATTTAATATTTATTCGAAATGAATGCACGATGAGTCTAACTCGTCAAACGATGCCATGGGTTGACAGTCAAGTAACATGCGTTCTATGAGCAAGTTCAAAATGCAGAGAAAACATGGAAAAAATTGCAGAACAATGAAAAGAGAGAAAAAAAAAATAATAGAAACCCGGAAAAATTGAGAAAAAAGAGATATAATTTTTACATCAGCTCACACGATTATATCTGAAAAAAGGAGTGCTTTCTAATATTGTATCAATATAGTCAAAGCAAAATATATCAATACAATAGTGTGAGGAGCACTAAAAAAACATTTTTGCAACAAAATAGAATAGAACATATTAGGTAAAAATATCAGAAAATAAAATCCAAAGAAAAAACAGAACAAAACATAAAACGAAATCATGGGTGAAAGCCCTTATATAGCAAGACGGAAAAGAGAAAAACCTGGTACGTAAAACATTTCATTCCAGCATTTTTTTCGAAAAAAATGAAATATCTGTAACTATCAAGATTTCTTTTATAATTCTGGCNGAAAAAAGGAGTGCTTTCTAATATTGTATCAATATAGTCAAAGCAAAATATATCAATACAATAGTGTGAGGAGCACTAAAAATACATTTTTTGCAACAAAATAGAATGGAACATATTAAGTAAAAATATCAGAAAATAAAATCTAAAGAAAAAACAGAACAAAACATAAAACGAAATCTATAAAGAGAGTAGTGAATTCAAATGAACTTACATGGAAGAGAAATTTTTCAAGAATGATTTAAAATATTTTCGTATCGAGATTGCCAGAATACAAAAGATGAAAACCGAAGCGCAAATTGAGGTAAAAGCGTAAATAGAGGGGTTTTGTTTTATCTGGCTATCTCGTGTCATGAAGAATGGTTGTAGCGAAAAAACAAAACTGTTTTGTAATAAGAATTTTAATAACAATTTAATTTGTTATTTGGCCATGATTTCTGTTGACACCATGCTGTAAAATAACTATTGAAAAAAAATTGGCAAAGTAATACTAGTAATAATTAATAGATTCCTAAATTAATCAGACAAAGCCTATTTGATTATTCGAAAATAATCAATATATGCCCATTACCCTTTCCTACGTGCAGAAAAGCTCTCTACTACTTACTTCACATAATATATAATTCTGCTACTTACAGTAAGAAAAACTTCATAAAAAAAAGGGGAGGATACATTTGTCAACACGCGTTTTTCATAACTTTTATGTTAATGCGTTTTATGTATTTGTAAGATGTACAGTTAATAAATTATTATAATATTTATATATATTGTTATAATGCCTGAGTATATTAATATATATAAATTATATAACAATAATAAAAATATTAATATAGTTAATGATCAAATTTAATAAATATCGAAACAAGCTTTAGCAGGCATTTCAGTAGTTATATCAAATAAATGCAAACATTAAAAAAAATTTATTACCGCTTTTAAAATTAAAATTTAAATATATTATATAAATTATTTTTGATTAACTTATTCTGACACATGTTGCATTAGTCCACATTTTGTTAAGAAAAATGCTGACAGTTGTTGGCGTGCTTGTTTAAAAATCTTATAATTCTACGGTAACGAAACACCGTAACTCTGCATTGACATTGATTTGAAATTAAACATTACGTCGATTAAAAAATAACAAAAGTTTACCCGTTTCTTTTGAAATCAACTTCGAATAAATCTCAAATCAACCTCAAAACCACCAGAAACCTCTGCTATTCCCCTAAATGTTGTTTTTTCCTTTATACACAGGGACCTCACCATGCCTCGGGTTTACATTATGTCTATCGAAGCTAGCCTTCTTCCTAAGAACATAGAGAGGAGACGAAGTCCATCTCTTCGAACACGAAGCTAACACGCGGAACTGCTTGGTACGGTACGCTATACCAGAAAAACAACTTACAGGGTGAGCAACATATTCAGATTTAGCAGAGCGTCATTTGAACTAAGATACAACGCATGCGCATAAGAAACAAAGTGACTGGAGGTACGTCACCTGTGAACCGGTTGTTGGAAAACTCCACATTCGCTGCTTTCTAAAAACATTATTGTATTGTAACTTTTTTTTGTCAAAATATGTTAGCAGATTTTATTAACATGGATGATATAAAAGTATTCACAAAGAAGTATCTTAATTAATAGTACAGTACTGTTGATCAATTCTAAAAATACAGAACAAACCAACGGGGGGGGGGAAGAGAAAGTTTTTCTTCTTTACCTCAACGCTTTCCCAACCCAAATATTGGTTAGGAGGAGAAAATGGCGCAAGTTCATTTTACGAACGTCTGCTGTTGGGCCTCAAAATGTTGTATTTTCCTTTATACACAGCGACCGCACCTAACCTTGGGGGACTGGTTTACATTTTGTTAATGAAAGCTAGGCCAACGAATATATGTAGAGGAAGAAGTCTAGCTTTCATTGACTTCATGTAAACCAGTCCGCTAAAAGTGCGGTCATATAAAGGAAAAAACAACATCCGGGGACACAACAGCAGAGGTTCTATAAACGGGTTTGCACCCTCCTATCCTTTTAACCTATTCTGGGAATGGGGAAGCCTTGGGGTGATGAAGAAAATTTTTTCATCGTTGGTTTGTTCTGCATTTTTACACCACTAATAAACAGTACTGTAATATTATTTACATTTAATATTATTTTTGCTGATTAAAACTGTTAACACATTTTGATATAGAAATGAAGAATAAAATGGTGGTTGGCGGGAAGCAGTGTACCCCACCATGCGTGTAGAGTTGTCCAACAACCGATTCGCAGGTGACGTACCTCCTGACTGTCACTTAGCTTCTTATGCAAATGACGATCTGCTAAATCTGAGTATGTTGCTCATCCTGTAAGTTGTTTTTTTTGGTATAGCCTACCTAATGGAGCAGTTCCGATCTTTGGTAACGCATTCGAAGAGCTGGACTTCTTCTCTTCTCTATATTCTTTGGCTAGAATTCTTCCTCCATGTAAATTCTTTGGCTTAGTAAAGAAACGTGACAGAGATGAAATTTCTTCTAAACACGGGAGAATGTTAATTTTAATGAACAATGTTAATTTTAATGAACAAAAAGGCAATTACTTTAGCACTGAAGTCAGTGACAATGTCAAAATGCCTCTTCAGATCTGTGGCTAATATTAGTTCTATAACTAGGAAACGAAACCTCTTAAACTCTGCCTCGTCCAAGTACCTCAGCCAGTTGTATCGATTGTCGGAGAGCAATAGACTCCACGCAGCTGCAGAATGGTGGTTTTCAAGCACCGATCGGTCATTGTAAAGAATAGCCTGGAAAGAAGGTAGAGTCAACAATAATGTTGATTCAGCAATAACATAATAAAGTTCAGAGCAAAAACACTTATCAATCGTTAGCATAAAATATATTATTCAAAGTAACATCTACTCATTACAGAGAAAGGCAGCTTTTATAGGAGGCTTCTTGTTCTGTTTGTCTGTATATGTAATATAACACAAAAAAAGAAATTTTATTTCTGCAAGATAGAAGTGGAAGTTTATAGTTCGTTCACCAGGAGTTGGCACTTGGCTCCGCCTTTATCACGTGGTATCGGATGATACTATTTCGCTATTTTGGGGAGAAGGATGTGAACAAGGCTGCTATTTGGCGATCGTATGACAAAAATATTTATTTCGCAATCTTCATGTGCATATTTTGAACATGTGCATTTTATTTTATAAACTTGTTGATATTTCGCTCTTTTTATTGAATAGTTTGTTCTTTTTGAGATATTTTGCTGGGAAATAGTTTTTAAATATAAATCAGCTAGAATAACGAAAGGTATAATAGCTGGTGATAAAGCGAAGTAAGGGACTGAAAAAGAATTCACTGCTTGTGTTTGGCCATCACCTTCTACATCAGAAAGCCCCCACACGGTTTCTTATAAGCAGACTATTTAAAAAGCGAACAGTTTGAGCGCATGAAGCCAAATTCTATTTTAAAAGTGACTGAGAAGAATTTGTCATATTTATTTGAGAATTGAATCTGTAGTGGTAGACAAGTACGTAAGACAAACCAATCATATTCAAAAATTAAACAAAATTTTAGACACATATTTTCTACCACTTTTTTATTTTTACTAGATTTTCTATTAAAGGGCTCTTTTGTATACTGGTTTGCTTTCATAGTGATCTGATTGAACTACCTATAAGAAACCGTGTGGAGGCTTTGCGCGCATTTGAGGTTATCTCGATTTCAAGCAGGGAAATGTTTTTCCTCTTACTCCCCCGCGCTGAAATGAACTCTGCGTCGGAGGAGGTGGAGCCAAGTGCCAACTCCTGGTGAACGAATTATATATATGAATTCGCTACTCGCTTTATATATTACATTTTCTGTTTTCTACTGAATATTTACTATTGCTTTCCATATTTATCTCAATTTGTTACTAAATAAGAAACTAACGTTTTTGAGTAACTAATGTTAAAAAACTAGCTTTTTATTTTTTTCAAAAATAAACTATGACCTGACTACTTACATTCATAAACCTTTCATTCGAGTTTCAGTGAAGAGAAAGTTCCGGTCGTTTCTAACTAGTTAACATGGTTTTTAGAATATCAGTCTCCAAGGAATGTAAAAAAGTCATAGTTTAAGTGCTCTAAACTTGAAACAAAGAATTATCTGGGCTTTAAAACGGAGAAATATGAATATTTTAAAAGTTATTAAACTCTTTCGAAAATCGCCAATTTTGGGAAATTTTTCTATGTTGAAGATAATTATCAAAATCACTACTTTATACTCAGCGTGACGTAACTATCACTACAATTATTAACACGTTGAGTGCCGTGTCAGCCATCGGTGGCTGACACTGGACTTCCCATTTAGGCCGCGTCAACCACCGGTGGCTGACACTGAAATTACATTTAGGCCGCATCAGCCACCGGTGGCTGGCACAGAAATTGCATTAAGGCTGCGCTGCCACCGCTTGCTGACACTGACCTTTCACATAGGTCGCGATAAACAGCTGGATGACAGCGTATAACATGATATAGAACTATAAAATTTGCACTCTTTTACGGAATTGCAGAAAATTTATTCAAAATTTACTTAATTATTGCAGAGATGCCAACTTGCTCCGGATAACAGATACTCGTATATATTTTAAAGTGGCAGTTTATCAATTGTGATTCTTGGTTTAATAAATTCAATTTAGTAGATTTTTATCCACCACTATTTCTAAATAATTCATAGGCTTATTTAATTAACCACTTTATAGTACTTCAGACATGCTATACCATTTAAAAAGCAAGCAAAAATAGTCACATATTTGGAAAATTTAGTTTGTAATTATTTACCGTTTTTTAAATTATTTAGGCACGTCCGGAGCAGTTGGCATCACTGAATTATTGTGATTCTTGGTTTAATAAATTCAATTTAGTAGATTTTTATCCACCACTATTTTTAAACAATTCGTTGGCATATATGATTCACCATTTTTTGAAGTTATACTTCTTATGCGACTTCCAACAAGGTTGCGTTAAACGTTTAACGCTACATTTTCATACCCTCCAACTGCTACGGAATTTCCGTAGTTTCAGAAATCTTCTTTTCTGACGGTAGCAAAATTAATGTCTTAATTTTTTTAAAAAAAATAATTTTAACGTAACTTGTCCACTATTACTTATAGAAGTGCAGGCCATATGGCTAGATTAAGTTCTGATAAAAGTTTTATGAGAGATCCATTTGCTTTTAAAATTTCTACTTTGGTTCGCTACCACTAGAAAGAATTATTTTCAAAATCCTCATAAGTTGGAGGGTATGCATTTTTATTGGCCGGGAAATCACGTGGTAGGATCCAGTTTTCCCTCATTCATTTCCATATTGTGTTGGTTCTCACTAGCATTAAAAAAAATAGTGCATGGAGTCCCTCCTCGCGGAAGAAGTTAAACTTCGCAACCTGCGTCGTTGATTGTAGAAGAATCAGCAGTCGTAGAAGGATCACTAGTTCTATTCAACGACTCTTTTTCCTGCTCCTCTCGATTTCATGCTCTGTAATAACGGTAATATTGTGCATTTTTCACTCGTGGACCTCTTGAACCAGTGGAAGTGATTGTGGTTGCCTCATCGTCTCGCCCTGGAAAACGTATTTGTATTAATAATGTATGTGAATGCGTCATANATTTAACACTAGGTTTACGGACATTTCTTATATACCTATCTCTACGAACACGCGTCAATTTGACGCATGAAAGAATACATATAATTGTGATTCTTAATTTAATAAATTCAATTTAGTAGATTTTTATGCTTCACTAATTCTAAATAATTCGTAGGATTATATAATTCACCACTTTACATTTTCAAAATTTACTCAGTTGTTATTTACCATTTTTTTAAATTTTTTTTGGACGTGTCCGCGGAGCAGTTGGCATCTCTGCTCTTAGAAAGCAATGTAATTGTATACTGTAAGAAAAAAATGAAGATATGAGATATATATATATATATATGAAATATTCTGGTATTTCATGTTTCAATACTCGAACTAAGCAACTGAAACCTTCAAAATCTGACATTCTGCGTTTGTTCTTTCTATTATTGCTTATCGGCAACAGTTGTTTATTGCTTGTTTCATTTGAGATAACGATATCGGATAACGAATCGAAGTATTGTCGGTACATTCCTATTTATTATTGATGTGATAATTGTTTGCTTACTCAAAATTTTGTCTAAATTATGATCGCGTCAAATTGACGCATATCCGTAGAGGTATACCACATAGAGAATTTCAATATTTCAACGCTTGTGAAGAAAATAGCCTTCAATATATATTTACCTCGATCAATGGTTAAAAATCATTACAAGAGAGAAAATAAAAATTCAAACGGGTTTTATAATTTTCCTTAAAAAACTCGAAATGCGTCAAAATAACGCGTCCCGTAAACCTAGTGTTAAAGTGTCTGAATGTAGTTGCTGCTTCAGTAAAAATTATTTAAAATGATTTTCACCATCAGAGTAATTTAATTACTCGTAATTAAAATATCTGCTTTATATATATATAAATTTCTCCTTTATTTTTCTACTATTGAGAAAAATTTTCTAAGCCGAGAATGAGTAGCTATGGTGTATAGAAATGTTACTTTAACTTGGAAAAACTCTTCTGATCATTTATTTTTTTTACTTATTTTAATTTTTCCAAAATTGAAATATAGCAAATAAGAGACATCCTTTCAGTTTAACAGTTAGTTAATAATATTAAAAAATTGTAATAGTTTATTACTATTTTTATTTCTCTGCAGGAAAGACATTTTGGGAAAAAGATGAAATAGGTAATTTTTTAGATTACGCAATGTCTCTTATTTATAGCTGTTATGAATCGGAACCGCAGCGTCCTATTGAAAAAAAAGTGTTAGAAGAATTGGGCTATTTTTTTTAAATCAATTTTTAAATGAATCAAATATTTTAACAATCAGAAAATGTTAATTTAAGAGATTATATTACGTATCTAAAAGTCACCCTTGTGCTGTTATTAATACTAAGCGAAAGCTAATATTTAAATGTGTTATTTTTTTGGGAGAAATAATTGACATCTTCTTATTTTTTGTTAGGACGATGCGGTTCTGGCATAGTGAGAAATTGTGTACTTTAGTTAAAAAGGGGATGGTAGCAATACTGTACCTGTGGAGATAGAGTTGCTACAATAAATGCATTGGTCCTTCCCGGATGGTCATAGTCATGCATGGCTGCTGCAGCGTAGAGAGCCATAATTTCTAGGGCTGGAAAATTGGCTCCCATCACGCCATAAACATCCTTCTCATCATCAGATTCATCATCTTCATCTTCATCGTCTATGAAGGATTTTATTTGATTATCTACAGTGGCTTGTCTTGAAGTTGACCATCGTTCCTGAGCCTCGCGACCACCTTGAAGGGAAAAAAATGCCAATTTGAAATGGCTTTTATGAATTCGTGAACTACTGTTGGCTAGATGATATTGGCTTATAGAATTTAAGTGCGTGTTTTTTTTTTAATAATAAATTCCCACTGATCAGGCTAGCTGACCGGGTTGTGGCGAGCTGGACTGGTAGCCAGACGTGGACTATACGGGTAAGAGTTTTGCAAACCTAGGTACGTGTCCACGTCTGGAGGAAAAGAAAAAAAAGTACTCCCACAACAGTCCGTTAGGGAACAAACCGTAATCCTTCACTGCCATTTAATGGCGGTTCATTATTGATTGTAATGCAGTCTATTGTTGTTAAAGACAAGGCCTGAGAAAAACTGATACCTATATTAACGGAACATTCATGATAGAACTCCAATGTTTTCACCAACTATAAAATTTGTACTAATTTTATTTTTAAAGAATAACTTCAGAAGACCATAAAAGTGTGCTTAGTACCGTTTGTAGTACACGGACCATGCGTTTAAGTACTGCACAAATCATATTCTAAATTTATCTGTAATAAGTTCAGTTGATGAAATTCATAAAAATGCTGCATATTTTTGTTATTAACCACTTCCAGATGAAAGATTCAGACGTGCATTCCCCAGGTGCAAATGTAAAATGATAAAACAGGTGGGTCGGGATAGCCAGGTTGGTAGGACGTTAGGCTCGTGTTCGTGAGAGCGTGAGTTCGAATCCTGCTGGCAGAAGAATCCCTATGTATTAAATGGTGACTAGTGCAAGTTAAATCTGTCGGGGTCAGAAAGTCTAGTGCTATGCCAAGTTCCCATAACAACTCTCTGGGGCAACTGAAATAGAGATTGATCGTTCTCTGGTTCAGGTCAAAATTACGATCTGTGGAGGAATGAATGGAGTATGATTGAGTCTTCCCTGCAAAACGAACTGCGACATGTGTATGACTGAAGTCGTATTTTTGGCCATAGATGACGCCTCTGAAACACAAGAAACGTAACCTCTGTCTTAAAATTCGATTGGTTTCCCTCAGCAGGCTTGCTTCTTCTTCTTCTTTATTTAACTTAACTGGGCACCTGGGCCACATAGCGGTTTCTATCCCACCCATCCTGATTTTATCAGTAGATGTAGTAAAACATTTTGTGTACAGCAGACTGTGTGGTGCACAGCAGGCTTGCTGATATTGGCAAGGGGCATTAATAACAACAATAACAGATAAAACTGATAGCGAAACTATTTCTTTATCGATTTATTTCTGATAGGGTTATGATAGTTTGATTTATTTAATTCACCACTGCTTAGTCCAAAACAAAAATTATGTAAATTATTCTTTGCAAAAGTGCTGATGAGATGCGTTGAAATTCAAGTGCAAGCAAAATTACGATTGTCAAATTAAGCTATGTTCACTTTTAAGCGTCCACTTCTTATTTCTTTTCCGTTCTGAATCTGCTGTAAGAATGTATTAATGACTCATCCGACGTTAATTCTCTTTAACTTTGAAGCAGTTCCAGAATTAGATTTCCTGTATATGTTTTATGATTGACAACTACTCAGAAAAATTATTTATGGAAAGTAATATTGGCAGGAAATTAGAAATAGAGAAAATTATTGGAATTAGAGAAAAGTGTACTTACTGAGAGTTCTGTGTAAAGGTGAGTCTGTTGAATCAGAAGAAACTTGGCAGAAACCAGGAATGGGCTGAGAGATGAGGAAATATACTCCGTGGAGGACATCACTTGCGTGCATTCGATTATGGTCTGCACAAATTAACAAACATATCGTTATCACGCATTGCAGATGAAAGTACAGGATGCTAAGAAATACTTTGGCTGTTATTTTATTGACTAACCATCACGAGAAAGTTTTCGAAGGGGAGAAAATTATTAAAAAGAACCTGGTTGAGGAACTTTCTCATTTCCAGTTTCGGACAGTTGAATATCCATAATTACCCGGACTTATTAATCGACAAACTATGTACAGCATTGTATAAAAAATAATAAAAGGAGACAAAAATTAATGACACTAGGAAAAGGAAAATCAACAGAAGAAGGAAAGTTAATAGGAAAAATAAGAGTCTTAAAATTTTATCTTTCATTTGAGGGTCATGGCGTAAAAAATTTCGAATTTAAATATCACACCTGCCAACTCTTCTGGATTTTCGGGAAGATTTTAGTTTTATATTTAATGAAGTAAAGAAAAATTTACATTCAGGCTTAACTTCTATTTTAATAAATTTGATTTATTATACTATATGATGAAAAATAACATTTATTTGGCAGACAAAATGCGTTTTATTCAGCATTTGGGTACAGAAGGAAAAAATCACAATTTGTGCTCATGAGAAAAACAAATAAAAAAAAGATGTTTCCATAAAAGAAAATCGTGCTCAGTAGGGGGGATATGGTTCCCCGGAAGGCCAGCAATGTTTAACACCTTTGAGGCATCCAGTCAATGAGGTTATTAATGTATTCTGTCCCGCTCCTCCCGAAGAGCTCTTTCCAGTTCTTGGAGAGTTTGTGTGGTTGGTAGGCGTCTAGCAATTCGTCTGCCTAGAATGCCCCAAACATGTTCGATTGGGTTCATGTCCGGAGAACACGCAGGCCAATCCATTTGTATGACTCATTCCTCTAAAACGGAATCATTCACCAGGTGAGCACGATGTGACCTGCAATTGTTATCCATTACAGTGAAGTCATCTCCAACTTTTGCTGCGTAAGGGCCTCTGGATCCCATCCCCATATCGGTGAAAGGTCAGAGCTCCATTTCGAATGATATGGAGATCGGAGCATCCATAAATGAGGATGCCAGTCTAGACAATCACTCCCCCACCGCCAAATCTTACACTTTCGTGCACGAACGCAGGATTGTTTCAAGTGCCATGCTCCCTCCAGATGAAAATACGCCTATTATCAGGATGAACAGAATAATTGCTCCATTCATTTCTCCTTCAGTTCACATGCTCTGTTGTCCAAACCTTGCGAGCGCGACAGCGCCTTGCTGTTAACGTTACACGCATCATTGGTCTGCGAGTATACAGACCTACAGCGTGAAGAAGGTTTCGGACAGTTTGTGTCGAAATTGTGAGGCCAGTAGCAGAGCGAGTGTGTTATTGAAGAAGAGTGGCATTCATATTTCGGTACTTCCGAGACGTTGGCGTTAAATAACGGTCATCATTGAGTGTTGATGCACATCTACGCCCTTGCCCTGATCTTCGGTCTTCATTTCCAGCTTACAAAAAACGGTTCCAGATCCTGGAAATCACACTTTTTGAAACTTCAATGGCTTCTGCTACTTCGGCTTGTGTTTGGCTCCCCTCTAACCGGCCAACAACTCTCCAAGCTTCTGATTCAGTTAAATGACTTCTTTGATGCATCGCACTCATCGAAACAACGCTCTTACTGAATTCCGATCATTCTTTTCGACTTTGTCTTAAAGTAAGTTGAAAGCCAAATCAAACTCTCTGTCCCGAAGGCGCCGTCTTCGACGTCAATCTCAAAATTCGCATACTGCGAAGTTTGAAAATAATAAAAATTTACATTTGTAACTATCTTCTTCCATTTGTATGCACAAAAAAAAATTGCTTCTACCGTTATTTTATACAAGACTTACAATACTCTTTATTTGTTTTGAGCAGTGCATATTATAGCTGTCCCAAGTCATGCTAATTGCTGATATTTTCTGTTCTTGAATAAAATGAAGCTTTCCAATTACTTCTTGCAAAATATTTTATAGAATGTTGGACATTTAAAAACCAAAGCTCTCAGTAATTTTTGTAATTTTTCCAATAATTTGAAAGTCTCACCACGCTAGAGCTGAAAAAAATGGTTTTGCATATGAACTTTTAAATCATTTATATGTAATGGTGTGGAAAATAAGTTTAAATGAATAAAAAATAATACATTAAAGCATAAACGTAGCTACTCCTAGAGTAAATTTTTACAGAAAGCTTAGAAAGTTGGCCGCCCAGTAAAAGCTGGAAATGGTATGGTTTTACCAGGACTGTTGATTCTACGCATTTTGAAAAATTTTATTCTAGAGGTAGCTAAGTTTTTGTTTTAATATATGATTCGTTATTTTGAGAAATTTGGTTTAAAGTTTTTATCCATATAACTTTATGAAAGCTGTTTAAAAAGTTAATGATATGAAACACCATTTTGTTCTAAACTCTCAACGTTGAAAAAAATTACGAGTACATTCCGAAAGCTTGCGTTTTTAATTGTTTACCACTCTATAAGACTTTTTTCAGAAAGCGTAGTACAGTTGAGTGACAAATGATACGGGGACATACCCTCCAACTTATGAAGATTTTGAAAATAATTCTCTCTAGTGGTAGCGAACCAAAGTAGAAATTTTTAAAGCAAATGGATCTCTCATAAAACTTTTATCAGAACTTAAGAATCTAGCCATAGGCCCATCACTTTTATAAGTAATAGTGGACAAATTTCGCTAAAATGAATTTTTTAAAAATATTAAGACATTAATTTTGCTACCGTCTGAAAAGAAGATTTCTGAAACTACGGAAATTCCGTAGCAGTTGGAGGGTATGCGGGCACTTCGCTACGGTATCTCTACGTAAACAATCTTTCTTTAATAGCAAATGTTTTGGATGATTTTAAGTGAGATTGTTGTCACACAATTTGAAATATCATGTTTGAAGATTTTAGAAAGGGTGTCCTTTTTACCCATGCAAAATTTGCACCAATCAAAATAATTGTGAGCCTTCTTGCATAGATAGCAATATCCTATAAAATGATTTCAAAATTGCCGGTATGGTATCAAAGGTAAAAAAAGAGTACTTAACTTCCTCTTCTCATTTTGATCGATTCGAAATTTGGATGGCAAAAAATGACACAATTCGTAAACTCTTTACGCTAAAATTTGCTATTAAAGGAAGGATTATTTGCACAGAGTTAGTATAGTCATCACCTCCTACCTTAGAAAGCTTCCACACAGTTTTTTTTTATAAGTAGTCTGCGCTGACTGCTTGTAAAAAAACTGTGCGGAGGCCTTCTGATGTAGGAGGTGATGGTATATTTCATATAGTTAGTATAATTCCTAGTATTTTATCACCCATCTGTATTTATTATATCTGTTATAAGTCATGACAGTCTTATGACGAATATTTTTCTCTTCCCTAAAACAAACTGGAAATAATAGAGTTTTACTACCAGTTTTTTCTCCTTTCCGGGTAAAGCTGTCGGAGAGAGTTTCTTTTATTCCGGGAAGTCAATAGCATGTGGGTCTAATCTTTTATTTACAAAGTGTCAGGAGCACTGCTTGCCCGTTTGCAAAACGGGGAAACTGGTAGCAAAAGTTCCTCATTAATAATTATCAAACAAATATATAACAGATTCATCTCCATAGTATTATAATACATGGGGTAAAAAGAAAGTCTGCCTCGAAAATCGGGAGATTTGACAGCCGTGGAGACAATAGATGTAATATATATATTGCTTGTTCTCTAAGCACTCCTTAATACTTACATGGCTTGTCTCTGTATCCTTTTTCCAGCTCATGAAAGTAGGCAAAAAATGGGAGCATCGGTATACGAAAAGATTCGAATAATCCCGTAGCTAGGAACACACGGTAGCACATCTGAAATTTAAATTATTAAAAATCAATGGTTTAGCTGGGAATAAATTTCATATTGAATGAATGATAAAGTGAATGCCCAGAAGTAATACAACACATTAGACTAATTTTTTAATATTGGTATTATATTTGTTCTGAAATATAAAATCTGATAAGAGTAATTTTTTCATTCAGATTTAAAAACTTACCAATAATTGATTCTGTAAATTAAAGAAATCTCATTGATGAATAACTTGTTTCTTAGATTTAAATAACTGCAAATTTTTTAAAAAAGTGGATCGTGTTTGATAAATTTAACCTTTGATGCAGTAAAAGACACCCGTATTTTATAATCATAAATTATTAAAGTGCTAAATATAATATTTTTCACAGATTTTGCCCTAAACCTAATACAAGAAAGCATGAAAAATATGTTTAATAAAAATTCTACGTCAAAGAGTTACGTTCTAGTATATTTTTGGAAAATCAAGGATTGTACGAATAGTTTAAATATCTTTTTTTTTCTATCGCAAAACATGCGAACGGACGCAATTAAAAAAAAAATACTAAAGAAAGTAATGTTGAAAAATAAAATAGAAAAAAAATTCAAAATTGGAAAAATAAATAAACTAGAGGAAAATATGTATTACAATTTTTAACATACTTAGGTTAATAAGGACAAAATAACAAGTTGAATTAGTGACTCACTTGGCTAAGGATTAGAGTACCCGCTTGGCGTTCCATGTCAAAAACAGGAAAATCCCAAATGTCAATGAGTCCAAGAAGGGGATCGTTAGCTAGAGCTTCAAGATCGTAAACTGCATCCTGAAGTTGGATGATCAGACCTTCTTCTTCCGAATCTTCTTCAGTAATTTCCTGCAAAACAGATCATAAAATTTTTAATTTTTTCAGAAATAAAGAAAATTATATAATAGTACGAACGTGGAAAAATAGAATACCTGATTATCCACTGACCTAGTCTTATATCACGTCTATAATTTATAAATTATGTCCGCGAAAGTACATGCCTCCTTTTTTACAGTGATGCAGAAAGTTCTTTTATTAAAGAAAGTGGTATACAGGATTACCGATGTAATGTAATCAGCCTGGCAGCACTAGTATTAACAAATGTTACAAACCAATAGAAATGTAAAACTAATAGATTTTAAACGTTTAGCAACCACTATTCTTTAACCCCTTAACTTGTGAGCGCGAGTTAATTCGAGCACGCTAATTAGGCCAAACTGTGCACACTCTAGATAATTCGAGCGGCGTTGTATTTTATGCTGAAATTATTTTTCACACTCGAATATAATCGAGAATTGAAAATATCAATGTGAAAGCTAAGAAAAAAATCGTTTTATTGCTATTTATCATTTACATAGGATTGTAAGCTACAACACTTATCTATTCAAGAATAAAATATACAGAGATGCCAACTTGCTTCGGCCAGCAAATATATATTTTAAAGTGGTAGTTTATCAATTGTGATTCTTGGCCAGGGCGCCGAATTGATTTTAAACTGAAAACATTAAAAAACAAACAAACCTGTAGATGTTTGCATCTGTGATCTGTATGAATCTTTAAAATTTATATTTACATAATATTTAAAAATAATACAGCAGTCTAGCCAGTCTAATCCTGCATTTTTATAAATTGCTATACTGTCGTGCAATTGAAAAATCAACGTAAGCGACAAAAAATTTAAATAAAAAAATTCAAAAATAAATTTTGTTTTAAGAGCAATAGAAGGAAAATAGTTGTCTGACCACTTTCCTCGTAATCAATCGTGAAGCACTTTCGTTGTTTTTTCAACTGCACAGCAGAATAGATGTAATTACTTTTAACTTAATAGATGTAATTACTTAATAGAACTAATTACTTTTAAACGTTCAGCAACCACAATTCTTTTAAAAACAAAGAGCTAATTCTTCAGGTTACACTAGCTCATGTCCTGCCTGACTAAAATTCCAATCAAAACTTGCTGTTTCGAAAATAATTAAGGCTTTATTTTTTTTTTTTGTGACCATCAGCATGGTTGAGACAGTGAGGCAGGCCTGAAAGCCTATGTCATTATCGGGCAGTGGTACTTAACTAGACGAGTGAGGTAAAGATGGCGAATATGCTGCCTTTACTTTCCAGAGAAGCTGAGTGGGCTTTTGAGGATCGAACCCTAATCCTTCAGATTGACTGATCTTTAACAATTGAGACATCACTGTTTTTCTTCTTGTACTTCCATATTAGAAATACTACTATTGTAGTAATCTAGAAAATCGTACTGACCTGTTCAGAAGAGGCTAGTGGTGCTATAGTAAGAGGTGAAGGCGTGAATGGGGCGGATCTTCCACACAGGGCACAAGGTCCTTTACCGCCCCACGTTGCCGTGGTCTGGACAGAGGCATGCGTCCTCAGTATTCGTCGCCCTCCGGCGTCTTCTGGGCCACTAGGAGGTGAGTCGCTACTCTCGTAATCCGAGGACATAGCGGCGGATCGGCGAAAAGAAGGAAGCGGCGCTAGACCCTCTTCTTCATCTTCATCTTCATCCTGCAAATTATAATATTAGATACACTCATAATCCACGAGAAGAAAATCTAATGCAGTAACAAATGTGCAAATCGGTCCCACGTTGAATTGTAATATCGGTACTTTAAACCAATAAACGGTACTAATTCGATAAGATGTTAAATTGAACCATGTTTTCCTTCAAGTTGAACCATGGAGTCCCTTAATATGGTTCCAATTATCCCCACAGTAATAAATTTGGATGGTAACTATGGATCAGGAAGATAAAATTTTTTTTAAAGTACTCAGTTTTGAACGTTAGCTAACATTTTAAGTTGAAACTACATATGCTAAATGAATTTTTCTCAAAAACATTGTACCGAGAGCCACGCCGTCTCAAGGTAAACCAGGTTCACCTTCCGATGAGGTAAATCAGGTTAAAAAAAATAAAAGGTACAAAAGTCAAAAGTAACTTTTAACTACTTTAAAAGTAACTTTAACATAACTACTTTAATCAATCATAACTTGTGCAGTTTCACGCAAACTTTTCTCAAAGTTTAAAGCAATAATTTCGTAATTAATTTAGATTTGTTCAAAAAATTTTGCTTAATTTTATTGAGTATTTTTAAAATTATAGCAAAAAGACTTAAGACAAAAAAAAATTAGTTTTTTTTGTAAAAATGTCCATATACAAATGTCCATCACAAACTTTTGATCAATTATTGCATACAATCACCAAAATATTTGTTAGAAGTTGCAAATTTATTCCTACATTTTTTGGCATAGGGTGTTCAAAAACACTATTTTCCGTTTGTAATGTATTGTCTGTCCGTCAAACCTCTAAAAGCTTTAAACTTCATTGAGAAGTATGAGAAATCACATAATATAAACACTTTTCATGTTATAAAATAATTCTCTGATTATTTCATAGCTTAGGCCGGGGTTTGATCTCAGTTGGCTACCTCGGAGTATTGATTGTACGGATGTTACTTTCACCGATCATCTTTCAAGGGTCGAAATATCACCAGAAGTCAGTATTGATTTCTAAGTTCATCCCTTTATGAATGAATCTACACTGTAAAAATTTTTCGTGTATCTGAGCACCAAAAAAAGTGTCAACTGCTTTACTGCAAAGTGGTGTTCCACTAAACCCAAGGATGTTCCTGGTTCCGTGAAACACATAAAATGAAAATAAAAATAATAAAATATTTATGTTGCCTACATACACCAATTCTAAAAAAACAGTTGTGATCACCTTTTTACGATCACTGGTTTCCCATTGGTCAAATGCTTTTTTTCTGGTGTGACTCCGATAAACACCACAACATTTCAAATCATGGGTTGCCTGAAACAGATTAACTTTTATGCCAACAGATGGCGCGCAGACTGAATGCATGTTATGAATATTAATGTTTTTATTTTGTTTCAGTGTTGATTTCTATAGCTTCGATGAAAGAAGATCGTTTTTGTTATGTCCGTCCTCTTTTATTAAATATGTTTTATTATTAGAGTTCGTTTTCTTTTGAAGACAAGCGACGGAGTATCGAAGTTTGGTAAATAGATAACATCCAGATAAGAGAGAAAATTAGAATTATTTCTACTATACGTTTTTCATTGCCAAAACTGTCTCAATTGATGTTTGTCGTCGGATTGGTTTTCAAATCCTGGCTATATAGTCGTCAGTNATTGTATGACAAAGTTGGGCCGTATCCTATGGGAAAAGTTCACTATAGGACAACAAAAAATATGCCATTGGCAAAAGTGTATGGGAAAATTATATAGTAGGAAAAACTTCATTTATATATGTTTATAGCAAATCTAATGAACATTTTCCTAAGAGATGAAGCATAAAATGAAAAAATACAGAAAATACTGCTATTTCTTCATTAACTGTATTATTTGATCCTCCTGTATAGTTTTTTAGTTTATTATATCGTAGCAGAAATTTACCCTTATCTTTGTAAATTACCTTATATGTGTCATCACACGATGTGCTTCAGTTAGTATATTTTAGTCTAAAGAAACCCTGAACACGTTGCCTTCTATTTTATAATTCTGCAAGTCAAAGATTCTTCAGTCTCTTTGTGAACTAGATAAATTTATTCATTGTCTTCCATTTTATAAAACTTCAACCCAAAGATTCCTCAGTCTTTGTGAACTAGATAAATTTATTCATTGTCTTCCATTTTATAAAACTGCAACCCAAAGATTCCTCAGTCTTCGTGAACTAGATAAATTTATTCATTGTCTTCCATTTTATAATGCTGCAAGCCAAAGATTTTCCTGTCTTTGTGAACTAGTTAATTAACTCATTGTGTTTTATATTATTTTGCTGCAACCAAAGATTCCTAAGTCCTTGTGAATTAGGTTATTTTATTCATTGTCTTCTATTTCATTATGCTGCTACTCAAAAAACTCTAATCCTTGTTAACAAGGTTAAATTTTTCATTGTTTTCATTTTTATTATATTGCAACACAAAGATTTCCCAGTCTTTGCTAACTAGGTTAATTTATTCATTGTTTTCATTTTTATTATACTGCAACCCAAAGATTTCCCTGTCTTTGTTAACTAGGTTAATTTATCCATTGTTTTCATTTTTATTATACTGCAACACAAAGATTTCCCAGTCTTTGTTAACTAGGTTAATTTATCCATTGTTTTTAATTTTATTATACCTCAACCCAAAGATTTCCCAGTCTTTGTTAACTAGTTAACTTATTCATTATTTTATTATGCTGCTACTAAAAAATTCTCCAATCCTTTCGAACTAGGTTTATTTGTTCATTGTTTACATTTTTATTATACTGCAACCCAAAGATTTCCCAGTCTTTGTTAACTAGATTAATTTATTCATTGTTTTCATTTTTATTATACTGCAACCCAAAGATTTCCCAGTCTTTGTGAACTAGTTAATTTATTCCTTATTTTATTATGCTGCAACTCAAAAATTCTCCTGTCCTTTTGAACTATGATAGTTCATTCATTGTTTTCATTTTTATTTTTCTGCAACCCAAAGATTTATCTGTCTTTGTAAACTAGTTAAGTCATTTATTGCGTTTAATTTTATTATACTGCAACCCAAAGATTTCCGAATCTTTATGAACTAGGTTAATTAAGACATTTTCTTCTATTTTATTATGTTACTACATAAACAGTACCTTGATTTTGCTGTCTGCACAACTTGTTCGTTCATAGGTCGTGTTCTATTTAATTTTACTGTAACTTAAATATACCATAGTTTTTGCTATATTTACATAATGCATTAATTACACTCTCTGCGATATTTCATTACACTGCAACACAAAGATAGTCTTGCCTTTTTTGATACACTATGCGTGATTTTATAAGCTGTGTTCTGTTTTAATTATACTGCTGCTCAAAAGTGTAGAGAAAAAAAAAAGTTAGACACCGAACCTCCTCCTCTTCCTTGATAGTTTCATCTTGCGGTTCCTTGGACGCAATCCCTTCATCCGCTTCCTGCTCCTCGCCTGTCCTTCTGGTGGCGTCCTCGTGCAGTGACGTCAAGCACTTGACGTCATGTGGCGTAAGAGGGTGCAGAGAGGCTACAGTCTTCCGACCACGAGAATCTTTCCTCTTAGGATGACCCGAAGGCAGTGCGGTGGTCGAGTAGGAGCGTTGACCTTTGGGCGGCCTCTTCTGCTGCTCTGGTAAAGCCGCAATCAGAGATTCTAAACTGTAAGAAAAAATATTTAAATTAGCGATACATCTTTAATTATCAAAATAATAGAAATAAGTAGTTCGAAATAATGTTGGCAAAAGATGATTTTTTTTAAATGAGCAATAATCATATTAGAGATTGCTTTGATGTTCAAACAACCAAGCTGTGTTTTTATCATTGTTATTACTATTATTATTGTCACATTGGCGTTTTGTGGCCTCCTCTGCTCTTTTAAGGCTACACTCAGAAGCTGTAAACTGTAAAAAAAAAGAAGCTTTTTTCATTATAGTTTAGCTTTTATCAATTATAGCTTTTATCAATGAATAAAAACAATAAAAACAATTAGTTCAAGATAATGTTGGCGGAAGTTGAATTTTTTAACCACCATTAATCACGTTAGAGATTGCTTTGATGTTCAAATACCAGAGCTATGCTGTGTCCTTATCATTATTATTATTATATCGACACGTTGGCGTTTGGATGGCCTGCTATGCTTTGGTGAAGCTGTGGCGTATCTACCACTATGATTATTCTACATCAATCGACTAGTATATAAAACAAGCTAACTTTATTAAATCTTGAGGAAACTTTTAAAAGATAAAGGGTGGCATTGTTTAATGGTTATTCCACACATTTGTGACCTGCGGACATGATCTGATCACGATTACTTCGCGAAGAATGGCTTGCATAGAAAAGTTGATTTGCTTATTGTGACTGCGTCATCGTCCACCTCGCGCTGTTGTTTCTCAGTCTCATTTACACATAATGAGGTTCTGTACACACTCGACTGCTAATAGCAATACCGTGAACTTAATACAGCTCTCATATTAAAACTCAAAACCCGGTGACCTTAAACCAGCTCTCCCGGTTTTTCACAAATACAGCAATTATTGCTATCCGTTCATCGAATTCTGGTGGGGGATATTGTGGCGAAATTACCTCTACAATTTTTAAACAACAATTTACTGGTATATAAGACATGCTAACTGGAATCAACCTTGAGGTACCCTTTGAAAGATATAGGTTGGCATTGTTTAAAGCCACTATCAGTGATTCTAAATTATAAAAGAGTTGCACTACAGCTTTTTTCAATGAATCAAAACAATAAAAATATATAGTTTGAAATAATGTTGGCAAAGTTGGTTGATTTTTTTTTAACGAACGTTAATCGCATTAGAGATTGCTATGGTGGTCAAACACCGAAACAAGGAATATTTGAGACAAGGTGACCAAAAGTAGAATTTATTTTAAAAAGCATTAATCGCACTGGAAACTGTTTCCTGTTATGTTGACACAAATAAATGTTATAATGCGGTCTTGTTTACTCCCTATTAGACAGCCACTGCTATCTTTTTTAATAGAGGGAGAGATTTTCGAACAGTTTCGACATGAAAGAATCAAATATTGATGATCCCAAGAAAAATCCCAAGACGCTGAGAGATAAGCTTAACGCTAGATTGCGTAAAGAAGTCATTTTGATAGCTTTTTATTTTCAATTAAAAAAACAATGATGACACAATTTCTTAGAATTTTTTGACCTTTTGCAGAGATGCCAACTGCTCCGGACAAGCCAAAATAAATAAAGGAACGGTAAGTAACTACAAAGTAAATTTTGCAAATATTTGACTATTTTTGCTTGCTTTTTAAAACGTATGGCATGGCAGAATTACTACAAAGTGGTGAATTCTATAAGCCTACGAATTATTTAGAAATAGTGTTGGATAAAAATCTACTAAATTGAATTTATTAAACCAAAAATCACAATTGATAAACTACCACTTTAAGATATATATTTGCTGTCCGGAGCAAGTTGGCATCTATGCTTTTGTACAGCATATAATTTTTTTATTGTTAATATTTACTAATAACTTGTTATGTAACTGAAAATAGTATCAAAAATATTAAAAATTAATTTTACACAAATTTCTTTATACTTTAGTTATTCTTTCACAATGCAGTAATTTTTATTGCTTTTTGGGAACTATAGGTATTTCAGTCTTTCCAGTGTTAATAATTGAATAACTTCACTAATTTCCAAAACTATTAAGATCGACGTAACTATTAAGATGGCAATAGCCAACTTGCTTCGCGCGCTCGAAAATAAAGCGCCCATTTTCAAGATAAAACAGAAGCGAATGTGGAAAACAAAACAAATATCAATAAAGAAAACGCATAGTGTATTCAGCTTCTATTGTTACTCGTCTATTGAGTCCTGGAAATGTTCAACTGTTTTTCATGCGTTTCGAAATATGTCGACTGTTCTCAACTTAGCAATATTTTAATCGAATGAAGATGTTCGATTATCAAGCTGATTTATAATTAATGTTATTATTTATAAACAATGATTTGCCTGCTATTCGCACGAGATTTTGGAATCATTTTGCTATGCCAGTTTATTCGACGGTTCTATCTAATGCCTTTATTGCAAGATTTTTGTGGTATCAAGTTGTTTGAACAAATCGATATATAATTTGTCTATAGCAAAAACTTCCCTTGCCACAAAGTATAAGGCCGTCTGCTGCTATAGAAGCAGGCAATATCGCATTTTAAAGAGATGATCTTCTTCCTCCCTTGATTTCCTTTTTTTCGCAGACCAGAGCTTTATTGACCCAATTTATTACTTGAAGAAATTAAAACTCGTAACCATAGTCACCGTCACTAACCTCAGACGAATGGCGTAGAGAGTTCTTTCTATAGACAGACTGTAGTTGTTTGAACATATAGATAGTTATTTGAACACACAGTTGAATATATAGATGTCTGTATGGGAGAAGTAGTAGTTTAATTGACTAAAAAATATAAAAAAAAGAATATAGTAGATTTGGGTGATTTTATCTGCTTTTCGCTATCACTAATAAGAATGTAAAATTAAGTAATTGGGCATCTATATGTTCAATTTTATTTCTTTATTTATGTAGATCAATTCCTTTAAACTAATTTTATCAGTGGAGCCACCCACAATTATGTAACCATCGGGGATACTGTGTTCGATTAAACCAGGAATTATATGTTAAAAAATTATCACTTTAAATAAAATTTAAAAACGCTCTTAAAAAATTCGAGAAAATTGACAACCGTAAAAAAACTTTTCATTATAGCTGTGTTTTCAACAAAAAGATTTACTAATATTTAATAACCGTCGTTAAACAGCTGACATAATTCTGGGTTTAAGACTATTAATGTTCAATTCTGTAGCCTTGTAATTTTAAACCCACTCCAGAAGACAAGGAAACTCCCGGATCAAGTATTGCGAGTACTTTTTCGATGGAACTTATGACTCAAGAGCTGCTTTGCTTGCCATTGTATCCTTAAATAATCTCTTAACTCGAGACATTCTGGATTGCCGCCTCCAACTTGAGGACCTAGCATCCCTTAAGAAAACCATTGTTCTCCAGTGGGTTCCTGCCCCATTGCGGGGTAACGGGTAATGAAAATGCAGACTACTTAGCAAAAAAGGGGTCCTTAATTATTCAAACTTCTGCGCACATTATGCCCTTCTGTTCCATCAAACAGCTTATTAAGAGGACCTTTAAGACCTGTGCTCATGAAGAACTTATCGACCGTACTAATANCTAAAAAATATAAAAAAAAGAATATGGTAGATTTGGGTGATTTTATCTGTTTTTCGCTATCACTAATAAGGATGTAAAATTAAGTAATTGGGCATCTACATGTTCAATTTTATTTCTTTATTTATGTAGATCAATTCTTTTAAACTAATTTTATCAGTTGAGCCAGCCACAATTATGTAACCATCGGGCATACTGTGTTCGATTAAACCAGGAATTATATGTTAAAAAATTATCACTTTAAATAAAAATTTAAAAACCCTCTCAAAAAATTCGAGAAAATTGACAACCATAAAAAAAACTTTTCATTATAGCTGTGTTTTCAACAAAAAGATTTACTCATATTTTATAACCGTCGTTAAACAGCTGACACAATTCTGGGTTCACGACTATTAATGTTCAATTCCGTAGCCTTGTAATTTTAAACCCACTCCAGAAGAAAAGAAAATTCCCGGATCAAGTATTGCGAGTACTTTTTCGATGGAACTTGTGACTCAAGAGCTGCTTTGCTTGCCATTGCATCCTTAAATAATTCCTTAACTCGAGACATTCTGGATTGCCGCCTCCAACTTGAATACCTAGCATCCCTTAAGAAAACCATTGTTCTCCAGTGGGTTCCTGCCATTGCAGGGTAACGGGTAATGAAAATGCAGACTACTTAGCAAAAAAGGGGTCCTTAATTATCCAAACTTCTGCACACATTATGTCCTTCTGTTCCACCAAACAGCTTATTAAGAGGACCTTTAAGACCTGTGCTCATGAAGAACTTATCGACCGTACTTCTACTAAGTCATGGAGAACTACCATCCTAAATTTGCGAAATGGCCCAAGACGAAGAGCGGTGGCTGAATTCCGCTTAGCCACCGGTCATGACTGTCTGCGGAAGCATCTGTCTAGATTTGGTATCGTTCCCTCCCCGGTATGCACTCTTTGCAGTTCTGGTGAGGACATGGACTCCACGCACCTTCTCCGCTGCCCTGCACTTTGCGGGAAATCTATCACTGAACGCTATTGGGAAGCTAGAGACATGTTGTGATCAATAGACTCAGCTGCTGCATCTTTTGTTTCTGTTATTATTTTTAGATGTTTATGTATGCTGTTACTGTCTATAATCTGCCATTGGAAATAAAAATTTTTTTTGATGGAACTTACCCGCATTTGTGTTACACGGAAAGGAAAAGTGTGGAATTCGTATCGACACGCAGCCACTGGGATTCGAACCAGGTTCACCTCAACAGAAGGCTTACTCTCTATTCCCTGGGATATCACAGCTCAGGCTTATTAATAATTCAAATTAGGGACCTATTTTTCATGTTTTCTAATTTTTAACAATTTACATTTAAAAATATAAATACCCCGGTGAAAATTGTCGCTCTTCCTCGTCAACCCTTATGTTGTTATTTTCCTGATAAATTTGATCGTCATCGTTGATGGAACCCGTCGGTGGCGGCGACTGCAAATTTCTGAAGCTCGTGCTCCTTTTCCTCAGAGGCTCCGGTTCTAGTGTGGGCATTCCTGTGGCAGTAGTCGTCGTCGTCCAAGTGGCAGTAGACATGCGCCGCAGCACGCTGGGAGCCAGGTTTTTCCGGAGACGCTGGAACAAATGAATATTTCATATATACGAAATATTGAATTAAATGCTTAAAGTTTTTAACCCTTTGCTTATGGCTCTTAGTCCACCATTCTGGTCCATCTGTTAAACCAGCCGTAGGCAAAAGGTTAAAGTAATAATTTTTAATACCGAGTGTCTCTTAAATGACTGAAGAATCAATTAAAAAAAACTGAAGGAGCCTGAATGTATGGTTTGCTGTGGGCACCAAAATTTCATTTTTTAAAATAATTTCGAAGTTAGTTGTAAAGTTCGTCAACAGTAAATGAAAACAAACTATGCTCTTTGCTGAATGTTAGACTATTCTATCAAAAGTATTTGCATAGATATCACTAGTGGCGCCAAGCTATCGATAGATTATTATGAAACACTGTTTTATACTTTTTTTCAGCAATTAGCGTGTGCAAATATTTCTGTTGAAATGGCCTAACAGTTAGCAGAAGAATTGAAGCATTTTGTATCTTATTTTGAAATTTGGGACGAATAAATCTCTGGCTTCCTATGCAGAACAGAGCAGACTGTATAATTCAATCTCCATCGATTTTTTTCATTGATTTTACTATTCGTAGACCGTTTTTGAGATACCCTATGAAATGAGAGTATTTAAAACAAATATTATATTCTACAATTAGAATAATCTGGTATGCACTTCGCTATCATTGTGTAACAATAGTAGCTGATTTGAAAAGTAAGAAAAAGGGTTCCTATGGTCCTTAACAAATGTGAAAGATGGTATCATTATTGTTATAGCAAATTGGTTATTTTTATAGCAAATTGTTTAGTATTAAGCAAATCGGTTATCGTTATAGCGATCGGTTAATATCATATCAAATCGGTTATTGTTGTAGCAATCAGTTATTGTTATAGCAAATCGGTCATTGTTTTAGCAACCTTCTTTTCGTTAACTTTACTTTAAAATATAAATTTCAAAATCTGTAATTTCGAAACTTAACATATTTTATTGACAAATAATTGGGTGTTGTGGTGAATATAAACTAATTAAAATGCATCTTATTGTCTTAATTTTTCTACCACTTTCCTAGTTTAACGAAAAATTAAGAGAGAGAAGATGCAAAGCTTATAAAAATTATGAGGCTAGCTAAACAAAATAAAAATAAATATACTGGCAAATTTATTATTATTTATTATTATTTTATTTATTATTATTATTTTTTAAACTACGCTATTTTGTTATTCCCATTCAGTTTTTGTCAATCATTTTAGTTTAAAAATTTCTCGAATCAATGCTTCAAGACCCAAGAACAGATATTGAAATTATTAATTTATTAATTTGTAAAAATTTTTTTTTTTCATAAAATAAAAAAAATTTGTTAGTCAGCTTGCTAATGCTAAATGAAGTCAATTTTTTAATATTTCTACATGCATATTAATATTACAGCGTTATGTCAGTGGTTTATTTTTTTCCAACTCCAATTCGTAAAATGTAGGTAACAAAGGCATTGAGCAACGCTTGGAAGCAATTATTTACTTGCTATGCCAGATAAATTCATCGCCTATGGAAACCCAATGAAAATTAACGTAAGACATAATGACTGGGCGAATGCGTTAGGAATAAAAATGGGAAAATACCTTTGGCAGAGCTGACGGTCTCTCTCCCGTAAAAGGTATTTCTTCATTATCGGATGTAGACCGGAAGTAGGGTAGTATGAGACTTCCTTTCCGTCTCTGGGGTGAGCGACGATGATGCATTCGAGGGGGCGCACAACATGAGGAAGAGGCAGAGGCGGTCGCCGGGGCTGGTGAGAGGAGGGAGGACAGAGTGCGCAGCCCTGTAACAATGTGGGGCGGGAGTTGGGGATCGGCGAGCATGTCTGAGACTAGACCATGGGCTTCAGTGACCGCTGCAAGATCCACCGATGACTCTCTGCGGTTACGGCGTTGGTGATGATGGTGAGACTGTTGCTCTCGCTGGTGCTGCTGCTGTTGCTGTTGATGATGGTGGTGATGATGACCTGCCTGTAAAATGAAAAGATTTAATAATTTTTTTTTTGACGAAATGGTCAATGCTTCATTTTTAGTTCGAAGTATTGTATGATCATCATCTATATTAGGTCTTTCTTATAGTGTCTGAAAAACAGCCCCTTCTTGTAAAATCATATTAACTCAGAAGGGGATTCTAGGACACTAAATCAAGGGATAAAATAGCAACCACTTAGGATTTTGAAATATATTTTAACAATAATTTTTAACCACTATATTCAGTGATGGGGACGCTAACACTGCTTAGAATCTATCAAATTATCACAATTACCACTGCGTTCTTTCATGATAAAGTAAAGGGCCATATAGCATATAATTGCATGCCGAAGTTCAATTCAGTGGTGGGGTCTCCCTTGATCGAGCGGTCACGCCGATCCACCAAACGCTCTGTAGAATGGAGATTTTTTATCGCCTTAATTCTATATGTATCTTTTGACGTACTTTACTAATGTGTGTTGTTTTTCAACTTAACAAGGGGTTATAAGCCATTTTTAATGAACACACAAATTTGCATACATGTAATAATAAATAAACATTTTCAGTGGCCTTTGAGGATTATATGGAAAATTTGAAGAGAGGATAACGAATGAGGGTCCTCCCAGTACGAGTGTTCCCGCCGTTCCCCCAAATGCTCTGCTTGGAGGTAGCTTGTTCAAATCTCACCGTAACCCTAGATGTATCTTTGAGATGTCATTTAATTTCGCAAATGCTTATAAACTGTATTTTGTATTGAGCACACAGGCTTTTATACATATGCATAACAATAAGAAAGAAATGATGTCTTGTATATTTTGATTGGTTAATTCTAATTTGTGGACGCTTAATTCCTTCCAACGCCGTGTACATACGGGACATATGATGGCATTCAGTACTAATACAGTTGCCAACCTCAGTCACTATGTGATTTTTGACTGAAAACTTGATCCGAAACTTCCTGTGTCGGAAAAGATTAATCAACTATAACCGTTCGACAAGAAAATCTTTATCTTTTTTTTCTTCGAAAAAATTAGAAACTGTTCAGGTTTTTAATTGTACATCGAAGAAACAAAACATGCCTGTCCACCGTAATACGTTGGTGATTAAAACTTTCTAAATTTCTCTATAATCATAGAATAATGATATTTGCTTTTGAAGTTTAAGTATAGCCAACATAATATAAAGCCAATAGTATATAAAGCCAAGTATAAGCAACAGCATATCAAGGAGTAGCTTCATATTCACTCATTCTTAGCCAATAGGGCTTGAATGCAACATATTGTAGTTACAAGAAAACGGTGGGCAACCGATAGGTTTCAGAGCGCGATATGATATTATCAAACCCGCTTTGTTACTCCAAAACTCTATACTTACTTTAATTGGTACTCGAAAACCACTTTACATATTGTAGATATATATAACTTTTAGGTTAATAACATTAATTTTTACTTAAACAATATCTCAATAATGATTAAGACAACTGTTTCAATTATAACACTCACAAAAATTTAAAGTGCTTGCAAGGTTTATTTGCGGTAATTTTGAGGCATTAAGGTTGATCAGAGATTTATTTGAAGTTCACTTCAAAAACAACTTTAAGAATATAACCTCCCGTGATTTATAATCAAGAAGTTGTTTTATTCACACTTGAGGTTGTTTTGAGGTTGATAGAAATCTACCTCAGAGCAGTCAGCTTAGAGTGGTTTTTTTTGAGGTGTACATGTCATTTTTTCTACTTTTCAAGCAAATAAATATATTTGAAGTGTGAATAATTTCACCATATTTCATTTATAAATACTACTGAGTTATATAAATGGTTGATTTCATGAGGTGTAAATTAGGTTGAAATTAAGGTTTATTGATAAGGTCATTTTTGGTGCAATATATAATTTCATTTTCTACCTCAGGTTTTTACACCTGTCAACCTCAAAACAACCATAAAATCACTTTTTTTTGTAAAAGTAAGCGACTGCCTCGGAAAATATTTTTTCATATTTATTTAGTTTAAAAAATATTTTATTAAAAAAGTTGAAAATAATTTTTGCTTTAAGAAGAAGTTTACGGAATAAATATTAAATGCCAGCTATAAGACATTAATAGAATATCAAATATACGCACTTTACAACTATCATAAAAATAACTAATTTTAAAAGATGATATTCATTTTGAATCTATAAAAAACCTTGAGATGTCTCTAAGCATTTGTTTTTTCCTAATTTTCAATCTGAAAAATTATTAATCGAAATTCTTAAATAAAATGTAGATAATTTTTTCAAATAAATTAAATACTTTAAAAAATTTATCTATTACAGTAAATAAATACTACATATATCAATTTAATAAATTAGCAAATTAGCACAATTTAATAAATTAGCACTTTTTTTAAATCACAGATAGCTTTTTTCATCAAGATTCCCATGGGCCTTAAAAAATGTAAATAAACCTCAATAATTAGTAAATCTGTGCTTACCGTTTTATGTTATTTCGTAAAAAAAATATTTGTTTGATAATTTTGACCAAAAAAGTAAATTGCTTTAATAAAAAAGAAGATTCTTGCTAGCATTAAAATGAAATTATTTATACTGTTAGTTTTTGCGATTAAATGTTGGATCCCTGCAATTACAACTATGTATCCACCCCAGCTATGTGAAATCATTTCTTTGTTTAAGCGTATTATATGACAACTGAAAAGAGCAAATCAAAATAAGCAATTAAAATATACTAAGTTTTATAAAAGTATTAAAAAATTAATATCTCCCATCACTAAAAACAATAAATGGTCATAAATAACAATTAAAAAAGCAAAATAAGACATTTCTACTTATCATTACTATATGCCAGTATTTAAAGAAAAATTTTAAGTGATAAAAGAAATATATTATATACATTGTTTTGATTAACCTCTATGAAAGTAACTTTAATTTTTTAAATTCTAAACTTTTAGATCACTATTTAAATATAATTGGCCTTTTACTATAATTTCAATTGTGTAAATTATTCAAATCTTCTGAGTTTTAGTATTTCCCTGCTTATTAAAATACACTCGATATTTAATCATGCAAGCTATGTAAATTCTATATTTCTATCAAAATGTAAATTTCGCAACACGTGAAAAGTGTACATAAATTCCCTTAAGTATAAAAAATAAAAATATATAGAAAAGATTCTATTTCTACTATACATTTAAGTTTAAATCTTATCAATAATGTATATTTTCCAGACAAGTAACATTTTTCATGTCGGCGAAACCTAGACATAATTTCTAGACACGAAAACTAATTTTATTAGTATGTTTATCACAAGTATTACATGAGCAATAAGTACAATTATTTAATGTGATTGTATAGTGTTATTTTCAATTAGGTTACACGAAAAAGAAAACTTTTATTTGAAACATTCTGTTAAATAGTATTTTATTTCCGTCTTAAAGTGAATTTTTTTGGAAAATATCTTTTATAACACATTAATGTTTTAAGCATTTGAATTTAGAAAAAAAATACTTATGTAGAATTATGGATGACAATCAATAAAAATTTATAAGTTTTTACAATATTTTACAGTTATAGTTTTCATCCTATTTTCGTTGTTTATTATCGTATCGAAAATAATTTTTTTTATAATATTATGTTTTTAAAAAAAGAACAAAACAATACATTTAAAAGAGATAATTCAGGTCATCAAACACGTTATTATTTGTCATCCATCTATCTAATTGTGTAGATAGATGGATGACAATCAATAAAAATTTATAAGTTTTTACTCTATTCTACTTATATATTTATAGTTTTTATAGTATTGTCGTATTTTTGTTGTCTGTTATCGTATTCAAAATTATTTTTTAATACTTTATGTTTTTAAAAAAAGAATAAAACAATACATTTTAAGGAGATTAAACACCTTTCATTTTAGAAAAGCTTAGCTTTATTTGCAACAACTGTTTTATATCTCTAACAAAAATGTATTGGTTCCTAAAATAACATTTTACTCTCAATTGTGAGCTGAAAAAACAATTAAACAAAAGTACGATAACATTGAATTATCAAAAGCTGATCTTCATGCGCAGAACTTTCTTTTTGTTGTTTAAAAGTGCTTTTTATTTTTATTACATTTTTTATATTTTATATATATATATATATATNTATATATGCAGGGGCCGGACGAAAATATGGATACACTTCTACTCAAACTCAATGTAAACACTCTAGATTTTTGCAGCAAACATTTTTGGAAGATTTTGCACTTTTGGAAGATTTACCAATTTTTGGTGCAACGTAGCTCGGAGTTTTTCACAGCGTAGCCCGTGACGATCCGATCATTAAATCACAAGTTATTCCTGGTGGTCAGTTTATTATTTTTTTCCTTTGCACACAAATTAAACCACATATAAGCAACTTGGGTATCTAAAGAATTGATTTTTTTATGCATACGTTACTAAATAGCATAAAAAGATTTATAGTTAATAATTGTAATAAGAGTTGTAAAATTTTAATGACTAAAACTTATTTTTTTTATTTGCTGAAATAACCTTTGTTAAATATTGATAACGAAAGTGAATCTGATGGTTTTTAATGATGCGCTTCGTTCGCAACTGCAAAGACACAAACGGAAAATTATCCTCCCATTTTCCCGACAATGAAATTGCCAGTCTTCATTTTAATAATGTCAAGAGGGTGATGAAAAAAAATTTCCTCTCTTGCAGTTCATGCCATAATAAAGCCACTCAATTATTCGCCGAAGAACTAGAAAGTGCTTTTCTAGAAAAATATGATTAAGGAATGGGACAGAAAAAAAAAAACTAAACCGGGATTTTCTCTTGGGTTCTCTCGTAGCAGTAGCGTTGTCCTCAGGCTTGCTGTTTAGGATCGATAATTCTACAATCATTTCCCGCTTATTTATAGAAGCCATTCATTCTCTTGGTATTATGAAGCTCTGTATAAAAATCACGAATTCTCTTGAAAAATCGCCCCGGGCATAATGGAATTTTTGTTTAATTTTTTGAT